ATACATGCTTGGTTTGCATTGCTTTCTATGTCATTATTCTCTAACACCCTCAGACGCACTTGATGATGTTTTTCATTTAAACCCTAATCACACTTTCAGTGCTCTCTATATATACAGTATTTCCAGCGCTGCGGTATTTCCTCCCGCTCATATTTCTTTTTTATCTGCAGCAGGATATGAAAAATTTGATGTATAGTTTCATCCTCCCTGTTGAAAATGTGGCTTGTGGTGTTTTGCCAGACAGTTTCTTCAACCTTTTGAATCATTCAGTGCACACACAGGTACCATCTCGACTTAATACTGTATGCTGTTGCAATTCAGTTTAAGAATGCGGGAGCTATTTGACGGAAATAAAATTTGTATTATCTATGCAAAGGTAAAAAGGTAATAAACAGTGGAGTGAAAACCATCTTCACAGCTGTCCTGACATCATCTGCGTATGAGGAGCGAACCAAAGTGAATCACTAAAGCTTGGAGGGGCGAACGAATGCAGTTTGAAGGAATAGTTCGGTATTTTGGGAAACGTGTATTTGCTTTCTTGTCGAGAGTTAGACGAGAAGATTGATATCCTCATATTCGCTAAATATAAAGCTTCAGCTAGCAGGTGGTTAGCTTAGCATTAACAAACATATATTCTTCATATTCATCTACATACAAACACCAGGGTGAGATCAATCTTCTCGTCTAACTCGTGTGAAGGTTAAGTCAGAGAAAGCCTGTCCCCGAGCTCTCATGATCTTATGAATCTCTCTATCTGTCTCTGCAGGAACTTCTACTACATCACTATGCTACGCGACCCTGTGTCACGCTACCTCAGTGAGTGGAAGCATGTGCAGCGTGGGGCCACTTGGAAAACCGCCCTCCACATGTGCGACGGCCGCCCGCCCACGCAGGACGAGCTGCCCGCCTGCTACAGTGGTGAAGACTGGACAGGTGTGCCCCTGGCAGACTTCATGAGCTGCCCTTCTAACCTCGCCAACAACCGCCAGGTCCGCATGCTGGCCGACCTCAGCCTGGTGGGCTGCTACAACATGTCCTCCGTTAGCGAGCTGGAGCGAGGACGCGTGCTACTCGCCAGCGCCAAGGCCAACCTGCGCAACATGGCTTTCTACGGCCTGACGGAGTTCCAGCGCAAGACGCAGTACCTGTTCGAGCGGACGTTCGGCCTGCGCTTCATCCGGGCCTTCACGCAGATCAACAGCACACGCGCCGCCAGCGTTGGAATCAGCGAGAAGGTGCGGTGGCGCATTGAGGGCCTCAACGCCCTCGACATGGAGCTGTACGAGTACGCCAAGGAGCTGTTCCTGCGGCGCTACCAGTACAACCGCCAGAAGCAGCACCAGGAGGAGCGTCTGAGGAGGTGGCAGGAGAGGCAGCAGAGGCAGCAGATGCACAGGACCTATCTGGCTCAGCTGTGGAGACTAGGAGGAGGTGGAGGAGGAGGGGAGGAGGTAGAGGAGGAGGTGAAGGTGCTCGAGGAAGTAGCCACTACAGAGGACTACAGCAGCCAGGTGGTGCGGTGGTGAGCCGAGCACAGGAATTTAAAAACACCAAATCACCGACTGGTCGCTGTTTGATTCATTGTGCTTTACTCTCCTCCCTCCGTCTCTCCTCTGCTGTGAATCTGCCAAAACCTCCTGCCCTCATAGCCTCATAGCGCTTTGTTGGACCACCGAATGGTGTCTTAATATTTATGATGGATGTGATTGTAACGGCAACATAAACATTTTGTATTTATGTTTTTTCTTAAGGCTATTTTTGGCACTGCAGTTGTGAATTGTATTTATTTATTCATTAGCAAGTGCTTTGAATGTTCTCAAAGCAGTGAAAATGTTTCTTAAAATTCGATAATTAGTAGAACTGAAAAAAAAATAATTAATGTGCTTCACAAAGAAGGCCAGTTTTAGTCTATTTTAAAAATGGTGAATAAATTGAAGGATTCTCTGTGTCATGTTTGTGATTTAGCGCCGTGTTGATCAGTGAAATCTTGTAGTTACTCTGTGGTGTTTGGCTTCATAAGAATATCAAAGCACAAACTTGGCAATAGTCTGCAGTGTGTGTGTGTGTGTGTTTTTCTTTCTAACTGATTAAGCTGCAATATACAGAAACAATCAAGGCAATTTCTTGCAGGAAATGTATTCAATAAAAAAATATGCAGCCCGCAGTGATGTAAATTTGTCCCTGATGGACTCTCTCTGGTACGCATGTGTACATAAACGTGTTCTGCCTTGCTCCTTTTTCACAGCATGTTCTCACCATAAAAATCTGAAATCTTCCTGCGGTGTGCCAACTTCTTCCATATCCATGCACGTACAGACACCCTGACGCACACTGATGAGGCCGTTTTCTCAAGAAGGGCGAGAGGAGCGCTGCAGGCCTGAAAGACAGGCTGTCAGAGCCAGTTTCAGCCCTCTTACATCACAAAGCGAGAACACTGGTATTTCCGCCATTAGCTCATTGATCACAGGCTCTTCGCTTCCAAATTGATCATTTAAAGTTCAATTGACCATGACGCTGATGCAGCAGAAAATAGAAGAAACCCAGCGGCTTCCTGAATGCCTTTTCCTCCACAATCTGAGAAATGTACAGTCCTCGGCCCAACGGACGTTATATATTTGCACTCCTGCAGGAAAAACAATCCATTTCCACACACTTCAATAGAGGCCTTCGAGATAAGTACAGGAATGATTGCTTTACATTAATATCCTGTGGCTCTAATAAGCACTCCCAGAACCCTCCACGCAGATGGGGTTTTTTTTGTTCATGAGAAGGAAAATGAGGATGAGGAGGAGATCAGTCAGGAGGCAGAAAAGGAAATGGCCATGGACCAAAATAGCCTTTCCATCCCCAGCTGCAGTCTCTATTCTACTCACACAGCATGTAACAGAGAAAGATTAGAATTATATAAGCCCAATATAATGAGGCTGGATTTTACATCTGTGTACATATGCAGACAGAAAGAGAGACACCTGAAGCATTAATCCCGTCTTATGTGCGGAGATTGTTTGCTATTTGGCTCAGCTCACCAACCGTTTTGATTTGTGATCTCAACCATTAAACATGGCGGGGTATTGCAGCAGAAGGACATACGGTATCCAGGATGAAGCCGTTTGCAGCCAGTGATAGACAAATAATGGAACAGCTTCCTGTATCTGCGGAGGATGTCTCGCTGTTGACAGGGGGAATTTGTTCCGGGAGGTTAGATGGAAGATAAACAGATGTTTGGGGTTTCTTTGTTTTTTAAAAGATTTCTTCTTGAAACATTTTTGTACGTCCACTGTCGAAGTAATAATGCCCTTCTGTCGTCAGCTCTCTCCGGCTTTCAAAATGAGGAATGTGCTGTCTGCCTTGTTAGCTCATCAGGAAGGTGAATGCATCTGCACAAAGAACTCGGCTGAGTGCTCGGATACAACCTCAGAGCCTTTCACAGATCAGTAGCTGCAGGAGGTGTTGTTGGGCTGTAAAATCATTTTATCACACTGTTGGGGAGACAAATGTAGCAAACCACGATGATGGAAATGCAAGAAAAATGAAACAAAAAAAGTGTTACATGATGAATTATAAATTCAGTTTCTCTTAAGAAACAAGTTGGAAAAATTCCAGTAAAAGATCCCGAGAAGTCTTTTGTGTCAACGAACAACACCAGAAGTTTTTATTTATCATTCATCACTGCATAATGAATAAAACTCAGTGACAAATAGAGTTATGATAGGCAACATAATCAGTAGGGATGCACCATAGTTATCAGCCAATAATGTGAAATTCATATTAGAAATTACTCCGATAATTAAATAACAGCCGGGCCAAAACAAGAATTTATTTTGAATTCTGGCACAAAACAATTGATCGACCTAAGTATGTTTGTGAAGGTTTTTGATTTAGTAGAAACAATAATGAACATTTGAAGAGTAGTGACCTCAGTTTAAACTCACATAAATTACTGTGTGTGTGTGTGGGGGGCTATTAGGCTACAATAAAATAACTGCCACTTAAAGAAAGACTGTAAGATTTGGTATTTGTGCGATTTTGTGCCCCCGGTTTCGAAATACCACTGTGGTAAATATAGACAGACTGCATGTGATATGATTACATTACTTATGATCCCAGCAGCCGGAAGACATCAGAGGGAAAACCATTTTCCCCATAAAATATGATCCAGTTTCACCAAAATCAGAGACACAGTTGGTGGTCTGAGTTATTAAAGTTTAGTATTTCTCATTAGTTTAGTTTCAGTTAGGTTCCAGAGTAGGTTTATTCAGGTTTTATTGTTTAAAAAGGTTTGGTTTGTATTACTTTCAGTGTTAGTTTTAGTTTTTTATTATTATAACATGGAGGGTATCTGTCAGGAGCAAGTTTGGGAAGTTAAAAACAGACATCCCAGTGTCAATAAACACACCAATGCCTGCTCTCGTTGTGTTGACAAATGTGACTAAATTATCTTAAAGACAAAAAGACAAAAGTTTACAGTGTAAACGCCACAAACACACACAACGTTATGTCGCTAGGAAACGCAGTTTGTCCGGTGGTTGTGCTCATACTCACCTGTGTGAACGTCCGCTCCGTGTCCCACCGTAACCAGTCCTCTCTGGCCTCCGTGTCCCACCGTAACCAGTCCTCTCTGGCCTCCGTGTCCCACTGTAACCAGTCCTCTCAGGCCTCCGTGTCCCACTGAGTTCACACACAGCGTTAGCGTTAATTATTCGCACCTGTTCACGCAGCATGTTGGGGTGTGTTTGATATGTTGTCACTTCGCGTGTTCGCCGGGTGGTGCATTAAAATCAGTGATTAAAGTACATGCGACCTTTCTTTCTTTTTTTTTTTTTTTTTTGCACAATAATGGTAAACCTCACCCATAACTATGTTATCTTTAATTTTAGTGAATTTTAGTGGAATTGAGTGTGTCCTCTCTGGAGCTCTGATCTCCTGCAGCCACAAACACACCACCAACAAGTCGTTCAACAGCTTTAAATTCACAGTTAAGATACTCACAGGTGTACATATTTTATATTTATATTTTTATTGTAATTTAATGTACATATTTTAACATTATTATGTCTTTGTGTAGTAACTTGAGCATCTGTAAGGCAACACATTTATTCCCAGGGACCAATAAAGTATTTCTAATTCTGATACATGACATGAAGTTTTTATTAAAGACACACTTAGACTTACTAAGTTTATAATTATTATGCAAATTATTGCTAAAAACTAGTTACAGTATGCTTATGGGAAGCCACATTTGATATATCTTACATAAACAATAGTACATTTTTATACAATGATGGCCGTAGATTAAAAGTGATACAGTACAATTCCTCCTGAGGAAGACGTGAATGTCTGCAATAATTGTCATTGTTTCACAGATTCACAGTTGAGATATATACATGTGAAATATACAATGTGTGCTGAAACCTTTCATGAAAATCACAAACACGATACAGTAAAAGGAACCCCACAGATCAGCACTGCAAGCTCACTTCCATCTTCTATAGCGAAGGAAATGTCTGCAAACAAAAGAATCCATTACATTGTTTGTCAGGTAAATTATAGTCACGTGATTTCCAGGAAGGGAAAGAAAAGATTAGGACAAAGGTCTAATTCATCAAGCACTTCTTTCAGCTTTACAGCTTTGGTCACTTATATTTACACTTCAGGTGTTGGCACCCAGTTTGGGCAAGACAAACTCAACCTACTTATTGTCTGTGTGAGACACACAGTGAAGCAACCTTCCCGACATCATGTCTGAGTGAGTGAGTTTACTGTTTGTCCACAGCGTGAGTCAGAGAGAGATTAAAGGAAGAAAATACTGGTTGTCAGTCATACAGCAGGCATGCCACTGCCAGGCTTGTTGACGACGGCCAGCTGGAGCAGCGACCTGGCCTTGGTCCGCCAGTGTTCCCAGTAAAAAGTGCTGAGGAAGGCCCTCCTGAACCTATCACCTGATAGAGTGTACAGAGCCAGGTTAAAGAACGTGTTGAGTCCAGCCAGAGGCCTGGAGAAAATATATGCTGCATGTGCTATGCGCTCCACCATGCACGGCGTCGCTGGCATACTTCGAGTTTCTATCCGCAACGTACGCAAGAAGTGATATGGCAGGAAGCACACAACAAACACCACCATGATCAGCACGGTTACACGCCGTGCCCGCATCCGGCGAGGACTGCCCGTGTGTGGCCCCTTCGCCAATTGTTTCACGATACCGATGTAACACATGAACACCACCACTAGGGGGAGTAGAAAGCCGAGACCGGTGAGCATCCAGCTGTACCACCGCAAGTCATTGTTGGTCTTATTGGATATGGTGCTAGCAAAGTCCATGCAGTAGGTCTTGTTGTCGTGCCTCTCCAAGGATATCACCGTCAACATGGGTGTGATTTCGATGGCGGCGAGGATCCAGACGGCCGAGCACGCCATTATGCCCCAAAACTTCTGCTGCACCTGCGCCGCCATCAAAGGCTTCAACACCACCACATAGCGGAAAACTGCGAGACACGTGAGGAAGAGGATGCTCCCATAAAGGTTAAAGTGAAACCCAAAGCGCACAAAGCGGCACATGAAGTCGCCGAGTGTCCACGAGTCCCCGTTGCTGTAGTAGTAGACCAGGAAGGGCATGCTGAGGACGTAGAGGAGGTCGGTCAGCGCCAGGTTGACCATGATGATGCTGCTGCTCTTCCAGGGACGTAGCTTCGTCAGGTAAATGCCGATGGAGGTCACGTTGCCCACCAGGCCCACGACGAAGATGGCGCCGTAGGAGATTGGGAGGTAATAGCGCTTCAGCAGGTGGTCCACGTTGGTGCAGTTGTGTTCATCTCCGTAGTAGAGGAAGCTGGCCATGGCTGAGTCCTGTTGAATATGAAAGGCAGTTTTACAAACAACTTTTAAAAATAAGTAAATCAGGTTTGTAGCTGGCACCGAGGACCCCGAGGTCGTGTCCTCACTTCTCAAGGAGCTCACATTCTGCATTTATAAATGATATTTCTTGACTCAAGATGTTTGAATTTGATGGTGTTGAGTTAGTCTGAGTGTGCAAAGGTTTTAAAACAGCATTTAATCAACTTTAAGGGACGTAAAAAAATTAACAGAAAATACATATAACACTTAAATACGCAGATTGATTGATTGAATGTGAGAAATGCTCTTTAGTATGCTGCAAAAAGTTGCTTGATAAATCGCTTGTGCGTTAACTGACACCAGAAATAATTTTTAATTAATTTTCCGTCATAATTTGAAAACTTTAAAGGTCCAGTGTGTAACATTTAGGAGGATCTGTTGGCAGAAGTTAAATATAATATTCAAAGGTGTGTCTTCATTTGTGTATAATCACCTGAAAATAAGAATTGTTGTGTTTTTGTTACCTTAGAATGAGCCGACACAGAGTTAGCATTAGGATTAACATCACAGAGTCATGTGTCTGATCATCTGGCTAATGTTAATTAAATGTAAAATTATTGATCAAGTTTTCAAATATGCTGAAAAAATGCTACATTGATTGTAATGGCTGTTTTGAGTTGGATGAATAGTCCAATCGCTGTGAATTCTTCTGACTTTCCCCAAATTCAAGTTGAATACATATACAGTATATGTTTCTGGGTGAGTAGAAAATAGGCTACAAGCAAATCATCATTCCCTTTTCCCTCAGCTGTCATATCAATGTCATTGGCAATTACTGCTTGAGGAAGGATGGAGAGAGCAGGGAAAGAAACCCAGAGGCGAGCAGACTAGGAAAGAAACAAACAATCAAGCCAACTCAGTGGGAAAGAAGCAAACAAAATCTTCTTCTCCTCTTGTCAACAGTCTGGTTTCTGAAAGACTCTCAGGATATGACAGCGCCTATGGCATCCTGGCTCTATAGCGGTAATGCTGTCAGTGCAATCTGCTCTCATTATGGATGTGAGGTGTCATTTACACATTGCATGTACACTCTGATTCCAAAAGGCAGCGACTTGTACTCATTAAAATGATTATACTTTAAGTTTTGTGGACAAAAATACAAACTCTACCCAAAAGCTGAAGCTGAGGATGCATACAGAGGTGCTCAGTCATAAAGGTACAGTTTGAAAAATAGATTTCTCTACTCACTTTTAGTTACAGTGTCCTCATCAGTTCTCACTCCAAGCATTCAGTGTCTCATCTCTGTTTTCACATTCATTCCTCCGTCACTCCCCCACCTCCTCTCTCCTCGTCCCTTCCACTCTTCCACACCCAGGGGAAACTCCAGCATATTTGTGTCTGAAAGCCCACTGTTGTGTGCTTCACCTTCAGCCATGTGCATGAACTTCCTGGTGTCATGCATGAGCTGATAAAGCTGAAGGATCGCCTTATTTACGCAGATCAGGTTTCAGGTGAATTTGCAGAGAAAAGACGAGGCAAGTCAGGCAGCGTGTTGGTTGCTTCTTGATAAATTAAACTCTCCAGAGCACCTTTTGTTCAGAAATAATAAAGTCAGGAGTTTCTGTTGAGGTCTTTGTTATTTCTTCACACAGGCATGTGATTACCTCAGTGTGACACTGCAGAGCTAAATCTGGCACAGCCACAGACCTTGGTTTGTGATTAAAGTAATGAGGAAGTTTACAAGAATGTGGGAAATGAACGCTTAACAGTGTCTTCCCTCTAAGTGTGACTGTTTTTCAGACCTTAGACCCATGGTATAATTTCACTATGAAACTAGTGCCCACTCAGACTTACAGTTTTGAACAGCTGCCACAGATTTATATTTGCTCTATGAGCAATGTTTAAGTCAATACTTGTTAATTCCAAGTCAGAAACACTGAACACTGAACACTATAACCAGCAGGCCGTACTGCCATACAGAGGCAGAGAGCACTGAGTTAGCTTTGTTGTGACTGCACAATTGAATTGATGGCTAATTGAAGGCAGCGCAACAAGCAACAATGCACAGGGCGACATTAATTAACATTATTTTGGATATTTCTTCACTTTGTTTTTTAGCTCTGTTTTGCTCTCCACCAACTGCTGAGCAACATATCCGGCTCTCTAGCTCCTAAATGCTCGCCAGCTACTCTGTCTGTCTGTCTGTCTGTCTGGTGTCTGCTGTCTGGTGCTGCCACAGTGGATTTATTAGAAGGTTTCACTGAAAAGCTGTCTGGAAACAGGGCTAATGAGACCGGTGAGGCTGAACCTAAACAGTAATGTTTCTGGCTGTGAAATCCTTTTTTATAGCAGATACTAAACTTTGGTTTCACTCAACATCGCTCGACAACTTTTATTGTTCAACACTTTACAATTCCTATAGCGCTTCAATTGATATCTTCTTTAACCGATGAGTTTAACTGACTGATCAACCTTTTTCAGCAGTTTCACTTCAATTTATAGTTTAGTTTTAATACTTTCACAGTATTAAAGTCCAAGTTTCTATATTTAGCTGTTTGTACTTAAAATATATTCATTATATATTTTCAGAATGTAAAACAGTATTTTATTATATATATAGTGTTTTTGTACATCAAATTTCTACATAAAGCAGCATTTTCACTTCATTGTCATGGCATTAGAAATTCTATACTTCCATCACTTACCTCCTTTACAGCTGCAGTGCACAAGTTCAACCATTCAAATTATTGATTTAAATCTCCTGTATCAGGATCCTGTTAATGTGAGTAAGTACAAAAACAACTATAAACACTGTTATCAGTCAGTGTGAATGTGTTTCATTCAGTGCAAGGTTAAATGGTAAAGATATACCTCATCTCTTCCAGTTGTTTCCATTTCTTGAGCTTGCAGGGTACCAACGGTAAACGACATGAATGTGTGACACGTGTTTGAAGATCATTATGCTGTTTTTAAATGGCAAGACTTCAACTGCTATTATCCCAGTTCCTCTTCCTTGTTTACCTGAAAGTACAAAGAAGCTACAAATATATATCTTTCCTCCCTCGGCTGCCCTCGACGTGTTGATACGGCGTCTGTTATGTCACTTTTCTGTGGATCACATAAAATCAAAAACATCCAAAGAAGCAGAAGTTTACAAATGTTTATTTTACAAAAGAAGAGCTAGAAATGATGTAAACAGAGCTTTATAGATCAATCTAAATTGTGGCTTCTTTTTTTTTTAATACTGTGAAGATGGTGCAGTCTTTGAAGAGGCAGCAGTGTGAGTGTTTATGGTACGGATAAAAATCGTCTGAGTTCAGAGAAAAATTAATGTCAACTCCACACACAGAAATCTGAGTGCAGACTCCTTGGAGACAGCTCGCTGGGGGAGGAGGGGTTGGAGGGGTTAAGAAATAAAGAAAGTGGATTCTGTCTACAGTTTGGGCATCTTGGCAGCATTGAGGCGCATGGACACACAGGAGGAACCGGCAGCGTAACGCATCTCCCTCAGCATGCCGCTCCATTGCTTCTTATCCTCCTCATACCTAACAAGAGAGAGCAGAGTCAGATCTCAGGGGAAACACAACACAACGTCGTTAACCAACGAAAAGAGCACGTAAAGCTTGGTCCCTGTGACTTACTGCCAGACGTCAGTGACCTCTGTGGGAGCCACCTCCTTGTTCTCCATCTGAACCATAGTGAAGCCGCCCACAGCGTACAGGGAGCCGCCATTGCTCAACAGGTTGACAGAGCTCCTCTCCTGCGGAAACTCTGTGAACGGCTCCCACCTGAGGAGGTACAACATTAGGAGAAGGTCAAGTAAGATGGAGGTCTCATATTAGTTGGTTTTTTACCTCGGTATATTCAACATTTCAGTTCTTTTTAGTGGTTGAGACTCATTTGTGGTTTGTGGAGCCCCAAACTGTTCAATATTATATAAATATAACAAAATAATATAAATAAATGTAAAATAAATGAACCAATTAATTGTAAAATAAGAAGAAACTCACTGTGAAACTTTATTTCATCATTCTTATTTTCATAGTTCTATTAATTATGTAACTTTTTATTGCATAATGTGGTGTTTCATAATACTACTCACCTTTTAGACAATCACATGTCTAATGGACTGTACTTGTATAGCACCTTTCTAGTCTTCCAAGCAAAGCGCTGTACACCACATGCCGCATTCATCCATTCACACACAAACAGAAATTCATTCATACACAGCATCTGGAGCAATTTGGTACCGCCGACCTTCTGATAAGTGGACAGCCCGCTCTACCTCCAGAGCCACAGCCACCTATTATGCTTTTCCTTTGTCTCTGTCATATATATATATATATATATATATATAATGTTACAGTGTCTGATGTTGATAGAAGGAGGACAATGCATCAAATAATGAGGTAAACATGCAATAAATGTTTATAAAAGTACTCCCTGTGAGCAAAAAACTCAGAATTCAGACTTCTCTGAATGTTTCAGATAGAGGGTGAACTGCATGAAGGCAGTATAAGATAAAAAGGATGTTTTTGAAAAGTGAATCATGCAAAACTACTCAAGGACAAAGAATACAAAGCTGGAAATGAGCATAATAGGTCCCATTTACGAGTTCTGAGTGTTGTGATTGTTGTTGGGAAATTACAAACACAATTCCTCAACTAATAGGTAAATCGAGTTCAAACAGAATCATACTTGTTTGAGGTGAAATCATAGGCTTCACATGTCGCAGTGAGACCCTCCTCGTTGACTCCACCAGCCACCACGATCTTGCCGTTGTGGACGACGGCTCCGAACATGGATCTGGGTGTCTTCATGGCCGCCAGCTCCCTCCACTCTGACTGCTTGTGGTTGTATGCAAACATCTTGTTGAGGGCTTTGCTGTGGATACAAAGGAGGGAATTTAATTGTGTGATTTTAAGTGTCAAAACATGAAACATTAAGAGCAGCACATATATAAAGATAAAAAAAGTTTAGCACACAATTGGAAATAACAATCATTTTGAATAAATTGCTTTATAAATATGATTATGAACCCAAAACCGTTTAGACTGAACGACGACATTCTAGAAAATGTCATAATCATTACCACTTATTTTACTAATGGACTGACGGTATGTTTCAGCATGAAGCCTTCATCAGTGCGTTCTCTTTTTAAAGGACACAGCGTCCAATTAGCAAGAACAGCTACATCCTTGAGAAATAGAGAAGATCCACACATCCAAAAAATAAGAAGTGAAGGAAACAGAATGTAAAATCAAATAAACAAACACACAATAGTAAAAACTACAGTAAATAAATAAATAACCAGTAGAAAGATAAAATAAACTACCTTTGACTACCTGGTGAAGGTTTGATGCTGTTTGTTTTTAGAGTTAACTGGACCAATAAATGTATCTTAATAAAAAAGAGAGCCTAGAGTTTTCTCGTGATATCTGTCTTGAATATGTCTACAAGTGGATGCATCTGGACACAACAGATAATAGTGTTGATATTAAAAATGGATAGGAATTATTGGTAAACACTATAGTTGAGGATGAGGACTGGGAACGGTCCTGGAATTATTGGCTATGTGGCCCCAACTGGTTGGCAGATAAGGATGAATGTTTTAACCCCCTGTAATCTTCATTTAGGATAGGAAATATTAATTATTGGGGATTTTGCACACAACTTTTGGCTCCAAATTATGTGAATTATGGGTGAAAGTGAAGATTGAAGTGTGTCCCAAGAGTACAACTTTGTAGTTTGATTCTCTGACGTATGATGTATATACATATTTAAAATCTACAGATTAGGTTATGGGCGTATGTATTTTTATATCTATATCCTATACATTTGTTAATATGTTGTTTTGTGTTTTGTATGCAGTGTTACTTATTCTTTAGCCTGAAAACTTATGTTTTTAACTTGAGTCATGCACTGTACTTTTCTTTGTATAAGTAATAATTCATTTCTCACATTCATTTGATTTCTTTTTCCTTTCAGAGGTTTGTATTATTCGGCCTTGTGGATCGGCTCTTTGTCTCACAGGTTTAATTAAGTCCCCGCTGATTGTTAATTGCATGGTGTGTCCTTTAAAAACTCTGATCAAGTCTTGCACACCTTCTTTTGTGAGACCAGTGACGGTAATTCAGTGCAGGAGAAGCACACGTGTTTCTTCTTGATTAGCTGAAAACACCACATTGATTGATTAGCTTATTATTAGATACAGCATTAAACCCTGAGGTTTGAAGACTCGCTGCACGCACTGCAAACACAGTTTAGAATTACAGCACACGTAATGATCAGTGGTTCGCTCTTGGGCAGAGAAAATAAGCAGATGCTTTACTATCACTGTATCATTCAACAAGAGATGTGCAGATCAGTATTTTCCATTACTGTAACATATTAGAGCGTCCAGGACTGTAGCAGTGTAATTGTTGTCTATGACATACTGCACAGCCCTGCAGTCTGGCAGAATGATAGACCACAAGCAGCTGCAGCTCATAGCGTAAGGTCTCACACACACACACACACACACACACACACACACACACACACACACACACACACACACACACACAGTAACTCACTTGTCATCTGTCTTTCCTCCAATGCAGTAGACTAGTCCTTTGTGGGAGACGACAGCATGGCCGTGGATCTTCAGAGGAAGCTTTTTGGTCTCACTCCACCTCATCTTCCTGATAAATGAATATTGAAGTAAGAGTTTAAACTATAATAATCAATAATAGTTATTCAGTTCCCCTGAATTTGCTGCAGCTGTCGTGCTCAGTTCTTCAAATTCTTAATTGTTCCATGTGTGATTTCTCTTGTGGTAGAGCCAAATCAATCTGGATTTGTGATTAATTTAAATAGGTTAAATATCCTGACTGTAAATCCAAGAAAAGAACAGCTCCATCTTCACTGGAGAAACAACCAGAGCCAGTTCAGAAGGTGAGATCACATCAAAACATGATTAATTATACTCAAACACATTTTCCTTTTATATTTTTTTTCATTTCCGGAAGTTAATTATCACCTGAGAACTGTACAAAAGCTGAGTGAAACAAAGAAAAAGTGAGCAAATAATACCACTAACTCAACATCGTAGCACATCACGGTGTCCAGTGACTCGTTGGTCTGGAGGTCTTTCCCAGCCACGGCAAACAGCAGGTTCTCGCTCTCTCCGATGTTGAAGAGGCATCTTGGGGAAGGCATGGGCGGCAGGGCGACCCAGTCAGATGAGAGTGGATCCAACTGTCAAGAAAAAACAACAACAAGTACATTAAAACAAAGAGCGGAGGAAGCACCCTCTTAGCACCCATTAGCTCTGTGTTTTATCTCATCACGAAGGAGAGAATGAATCACCGTACTCTAGGATATCCACATATTGATTAAGCTGTGAAATGTAGGTATTTAAGGCCTGAACCACTTCCTCCAGTGCCTGTGTACCTTAGACCAGATGGGCAGGATGGGGAACACAGTGCATCGACTGATTCAGAAGGATTTAGGAAAAACTGTCCCAGGCCCAGGGATTTAGTTTTTATTAAGACATTGAAATGAAGTACAAAAGGAGGTTTAGATGAGCTAAAATATTTCCTAATAAGTTTGGTGAGCTAACACTAAGAGTATTATTATCACAAATATTCACAGACTTTTAAGATACTACAAACCAGTGCATGACATGTGCCAGTACTCACAGCTACTTATTTCTGTCCACATGAGTGCCCTTCTTACGCTGTACCGCCACCCCCTGGTGAGTCTAGAGTATGCAACCCCTCAACACCCACACAATGCTTTATTAACCGCCCTACTCTGCCTCTGATTGGCTAGTCTTCCTTCGTTGGTGATCGGTGTAGTTGGTTAGGTTTAGACACGAGGACCGAGATGGTTAGGGTTAAAAAAAAAGGTCAGGGTCAGAAATTAACGGCCACTGCGTTCATGTGTTAGCACGTAGCTCACTTAATGCCGAAAAACATTCCTGAAAATGTTAGGGTGTGGTTAGGGTTCTGCTGAATTAGGGTACTGGTACAAACACGGTTTTATTAAGAATAGTTCATTCTGTTCTTGCTGAGAGTTAGTGGAGAAGATATTACTCTCATGTGGATAATAATATAATAATCTCACTATCTGCAAGAAAGTGAACACAAATATTTCCCAAAATGTCAAACCGTCTCTTTGAATAATTCATTATGCAGCATTTTGTAATTGAGGGAACAATAAAAAAGTATCAAACGAAAGAAAAATCTGTTTACCAAGTAGAAGTAACACTGCAGGGGTACATCTTTGTTTTCCTCGTCCACAAACAGTCCTCCAATGATGTAGAGCTGGTTCCTCTGAGACGCCAGGCTGACGTGGTTACGTGGCACCTGCTCCGACATAGCCGCCAGGAAGCACTCATTCTCGCTGACATCATACGCCACCGCTGCCGTATCATTGATCATCAGGATGAACTCACGCGTGAACATGCCGTGTCTGCGGTTGTCATTCAGGAAGCCAGGGAATAGGCTGTCCTCCTCTCCTCCTTCATCATCGGCCCCCTCCTCCCCCTCCTTCTTCTTGGGTTTCTCCGGAAGTTTCCCCTTGAAGGAATCCCTGATGACCTGGATTGTCTTCTGGACCTCAGGATCAGCCTTGATGATCTCATCGGTCTCCACTTTGTCTTTGAAGTACTTCTCTGGCAGCAGGCGGAAGCGGATGCAGTTGAGAGCATCCTTCAAGACCTTGACGCGCTCCTTGTCATGGCGGACCCAGGCCATGACCGCCTCGAACACCAGCTCCTCCTTCTCCACGTTCAGCGAGTCTCCACCGATGATGGCGAACAGTTCATGGGCTGCGAGCTTGAGGAACTCCTCGTCTTTGTAGAGGAGCTCGAAGCGGTCGGCGATGAAGTTGCGTGCAGCCACAGCGAGCCTGGGACAGTTGAGCACCAGGCCCATCCTGAAAATGGCCATGCAGTTGCCCAGAGAGAGCTTCTTCTGAAGGTAGTTGACGCAGACTGTAAAGACAGAAGGGATCTGGAATCTGTTTGCCACAGCAATTATATCCTGTACATTGTCATCGGTGAGGTCAATCTCGGCCGAGTAGAGGTACTGGACGATCATGTCCAGGATGGAAGGGTTGACATCATCCAGGACAACCTCCTTGGTGTTCTCCACCTCCTTCCCGTCCTCTGTGAAGAAGATCTCCCTGAAGTAAGGGCTGCAGGCGGCCATGATCAGCCGATGGCAGGGGAAGCTGCGGTCGCCTACCTTCAGGGTGCAGTCTACAAACTTGTTCTCATTCAGCAGCTCCTTCAGCCCGTCCTGGAGCAGGGTGCTCTGGAACAGGCGCAGCTCCTCCTTGATGGCATTGGGGTCCATGGTGTGTCAGGAGGGGGAAACAATGGGTGAACAAGGGGATCTGTGGAGAGGAGAGAGGAAGGAGATGGCGGCCACAGGTCCTTTTGGCAGTCGGTCCTGGATAGAAAAGGCAGTGCAATGAAAAGGTTCCCAGTGTGAAGACCCTGCAATTTAATCCCACCCCACTCTAAATATAGTTCCCTCTGCCCCCTGCCTGGTCCAGCTCCAGTGGAATCTGACTGGGCCAGATCACAAGCAGCACAGGCCTCGGCTCAAACAGCTGCTGTCACAGACTGAAAGAAGCAACTGGTTGCTCAGGCTGGGGATATGCCACCATGATTCAGCTCCCAAAAGTGTCATGTGGCCGACTAGTAGCGGAGACAATGCTGTCAAAGCCCTCAAATAGTTCACCTCAAGCTATACGTATGACTGGGAGCGTATTTAGAGCAGTCGCTGTCACATTCAAGAATATGTCTGCTCTTATGACTTTAGACCGATCATCCTTTTATTTATATCTGATTGTCATTCATTCATTTTACATTTATTCAGTCTATTATAGCCAAATTAACTTTTCTGATTTACCCTTGTCCTTACACCAATTTATACTTTGTAATTCATATATTGTGACGAACAAACACACCATCTATAAATCTAAATCTAAATAATATAATTATAGTCACTATTACTACCATAGATACTACTAGACCTGCAACAAATTGTTATTTTCATGATCAATAAATCTCTGCTGATTATTTTGTTTAAAAAAACAGTGACATTTGAGAAGCTAGAACCATGTTTTCTTGACAAAATGATTAAAATATAATAAAAAAAAAAGATAAAAATGTTTTCTACTAAAGTATCTATTATTTTCCTCAGCTTAATGTAATCACTTTGGCCAAATGCCTGAATTCCTCAAACAAACCACCAACATCAGTTCAAAATCTTGTTTTATCTTCTTATCTTATCTCAGCGTGTCTTTATTTAAGTGAGATTGAAGGGCACAAAAACATTGTGCTAAAAATGGACCAGACAGGTTTGGGTGCAGCAGCTGTGAAACAGGTGAGAGCCACACATTCAAGCTGTCCTGTCCACCAATCAGCATGCCTCTCCCTTTTCCCTGTGGGGTGTATTATTGTCCAGCTGCTTGTGTGTGCTTGTGTGTGCTTTGTGTGTGTGTGTGTGTGTGTGTGTGTGTGTGTGTGTGTGTGTGTGTGTGTGTGTGTGTCTTTGTGACTGTGTGACTGTGTGACAGTGTGTTGCTCTGCAGTTTACAAACCTTTCTAAACTCACGTCAATCCCGGAGATAATTTCAGTGCTGAAACCATTTACTCACTGTGTTTTTTAAATGCATCAATGCGCAGTGTAAAAACTGGCAATTAAAAACATTAATGACATATGTGAATCAACAGGGATCTTACGTCTTACTTCTGTGGCCTGATAAAGTGTGAGGAGTGTGTAGAGTTAGGTAACATTTCTCCCGTGGGCAGCACTAAAGATAGATCAGACTACGCCACTTGTCGAGGAGTGTCTAACATGTAATTTAAGCAGAAGGGGAGAGCAGATTCTGCGTAAGAAAGCTCTGCTACTTCCCTAAAGCCACAGTTGATAAACAAAGCAGAGTTCAGGAACATGTCTCGCAAAAAGAATAATTTTTGTAAAGTATGTAGAGACTGGGTGAGAATTACTGGGTGGGGTGTGGGGGTTGTGGTGGGGGGGTTGGCTGAAGCTTAGGTTGCACTTTTTTAAAAAGGGCTCAACAGCGTTATATTCTTTGAACCCTCCCTTTGACTGCAGCATCCTCCCAATACACTAAAATAATAATATTGCACTATAACAGTACTGAATTGGTAGAGCTCCTTTAACCTTTAATAATTCAAGAGACAAACCGTTAAACTATTTGAACCAGGTTTAAACATTTCATATCAGACATTTAATTTTTACAAAATGTGCCACCAAGTGAAGGTATTTATGTGAAACAAGTGATTCCTTTAACCAAATATTCCAGCCATTCTGTGTTATGTTACGCTAACAGTAAGCACCCGTTTTAAACGTATTAGGATATAGTCTTATGTGCAAAATAATATATATAAATCAAGTTTGGCTAACTATCAAATCGCCTTTGGACTGAAAAGACATGCACAGAATATGAAAATCCATATTTATTCTGTCTCCAAACTGGCATATTGGCTCTATTTGCGACTTATTTGATATGGAAAAAATTATTTTTTACGGAAACTAATTTGGTCTCTTGTTCATATAATAAATCCCACAAGATAAGGCAGAATTTCAAGCCTTAATAAAAATGACTATACCCTCCTTTTTTCCACCCCTGCTTCTCCAGATCATTTCCATACAGTCCCTGATCATGAACATGCTGCGTTTGCACATGCTGTATTACTTTAGATCAGATTTATTAAAAATGTTCGACATCAAATGGTGACCATGTAATAAACAGTACAATATGGATTTATAGAGTCAGTACAGCTGAGTAACATAGTGACAGACCAGTTACTCAACAATGGAAGTCAAATTCTGCTCAAACAGTATCTTCTTCTGTCCCAATTTAAGAGACATCCGCATGTGTTACCCAGTAGAGGGCAGTGCGTATATGTGTGTCTGTCCATCAGTGTTATGTTGGAAGATTACTGCTTGAACAAATGAAGTTCGTGGTAAGAAGAAAACAATGTAAACACAAATAATCACATTTTCATTCAGAAAATCTAGCAAAAACACATTCAAATGCATAAAAGTTACAGCGCATCAGTCATTTTTATATAAAAACAAAACAAACTAATATTATATTTTAGTGATATAAGTGGTGGAGAGGCTTCATTTCTGTTGTGTGTTATTGGCTCTTGTGATTATGCACTAATATACCCTACAGTGATTTTTGAGTAGAGAAATGAATAGCTACACTGTGTCTTTATGGCATATTGATTGATTGCTGCGCTTTATATTTTAGACATTGACAAGGCACCAGAATTACGACTGGTCATGTTCAGCGAAGCAGTCAATTTTTTCACAATCTTTGCAGCACTCATCGACTGTGTGTGAAAAAAAATGTCCCATGGGAGTGGGACTCATCGGGGAGCTGGACACACACAGCGAGAGTGATTATCTGTATTCCTGAGTAGATGGAGTTAGATGCTGATATAAAACAAACAACAACAATGGAGGTATCTATCAAAGCTAGGCTCTCTTTCACTGTAATTAGAGGAGGATCATTTTACAATAAGTGCTACAGGAGGGGGCACAAAGACAGGAACTGAAATGAAACGGAGATAAGGGAGTGTCAGTGTACACGTCTATGCCTGAGAATTATGCAGAAACTTAACATAACCCTGTGAAAAATGGCTGGTATTAGCTGCCCCTCCTTGAAGTATCTACAGCAGATGTAAGACAGATGCCTTCACTCAGCCTCCTGGAGAAAAACAAAAAAACATATGAGAAAGTCAATACTCATACTCAACATTTGGAACCAATCAAATTGTAACAGCCTCATTTCGGTCGAGGAAATTGGAGAAAAAGAAAGAAAACGACAGATTTTCTGTTCGACAGGATGAATAATAATAATATGGCAGAGATCAATCTTTTAAGTGTACCTGTTGATCTTGCAATCACACACGTCCTCTTGCACTCGTCCTCTGTGTCAAAGCGGTTCTTGTTGCCATTACAGCCGCCGTACCAGAACTGGGCACAGGCGTTGGCCTGCTTGTCGTAATACCAGCGGATGTTATAGTCCCGACACGTGCCCTGGTCTAGAACCAAGCCACAGCGAGGGTCCAGTGGTACAATCTCTGCAGGAAAAGATGTCACATAATAGGTAAAATAAGGTCAGACCACAAATAATGATTCACCATCTCTCTTCCTTTGATGACCCATCCACCTAATCCCACCTCAAAGTCTTCTGCGCTCTTCTGAGGCAATATCTGTTTTTTCACAAGTAGGAGCAGATTCTATAAAATGATCAATAATTGGCCTCCCTGCTCCTCATCTACATGACCTCTTTACAGAGCCTGTCAATCACAAAGCACTTATCATAACTCGGGAGCCATGCCACTGCTTCATACTCCACGACTGTGGTCACTGCAGACAGCAGTGGGCTGCAGGGACCCCTCTGCTACTCGTACTCTAAACAAACTGGACTGGAGCTCATCTATCAAGGCCTGAAAGACTTCGACAAAACATGAAGGGATGATGAATTAGCATTAGTATACACGCTCTGTATTAGACTAGTTTAGTGAATGCAGAATCTGGAGAAAAGGCACAAGATTAGTATAGAAGCTGACATTAAACTGGGAATTGTTTTTACAGTACAATTTACACTATCAGTCTGACACATTTGATTTAATATTTATCATCATAAATTACTAAAATGATCTGCACTTAGACTGAATTATATCACCTTATTGGTGTTATCCAAGTGTTAAAAGTGAAATATTATACTCAAGTAAAAGATGAAGATAAAAATCTTTCACTTTTAGTCCTTATCACAGACTTTCGTTATCAATCTTCTACCAACATAAAAATGCTTAAATGTAAGAGAGCTGAAGTTGGTTAACGACTGCAGCACAGACACAGGTGAGCACACTATTCTGAGACATACTCTGGAGTAATGGTACAATATATCATTGGTCATGATGAATAACATTAGCCGAAACAATCATGGCTGTAGCCAGCGAGGAGGTCACCGAGGTCCAGACAAAGTGTATAATCAGGAGTTAAGAACGTCTTTTTCTGTGCTTTAAGTGTCCTTTGGGCAGCTGAACAGCTCTGTGAGCAACTCATTATATTACATGATGTACATGTAAAGGGTTGCACACGTCCATTACAGCCCTGTCATTGTAATCACTCCATGTAACCTACATACACACAACACTGAGTGCAAGATCGTCAGCACTGTTTGTTCAAGATCTGAGCTCACAAACTGTTAACCTGCATGCTGTCAAAACGTTGTTTTCAGTGGCAAAAATATTCACGTTGGGAAATAATCAAATTCATTATAGTAAAGTTACACTGCACGACAGCAACTTTGAATAAACAAACAATTAGCCTACCTTGCTGCCGTCACTATGTCTGTTTTCACCTACTCCAACAGGGTGATGAAGGATCATCAGAGCATATATGCCCAAAATAAATATGTTCACATGTATGAGAGAGAATTTCAGATTCCTTCTGCTCTCTAATGCTGATTAGATTAAAGCTGTTCAGTGATTATTAGGGCTGTGCATTGGCAAGACAATAATTATTAGCAGTAGGTTTGAGTTAATTCTCAGATACCTCAGATGATCTCCAGTGGTGTTTAAGTGATTTGTACAGGACACAGTTGTTGGTTCAAACTAAACCACAGGTGCAGTTTAAAGTGCAGCTTCTAAAGGACACAGCAATGAATGAATAATAAGAGACCACATGAGTTTAATTTTAAATGTTAAACCTTCAGCCACAGTGTTGAAAATGTGTATTAATAAGTCTTAAATCAAACATGACTTGTGAAAAACAACTAATGTTTCACATCAAGCTATTTTTCACAATAGTTAATGGTCACATTTTTAACACAACTGTGTGCTTGTTGGAGGAACGATGCATTTAAAGACACAACCTCATAAACATTATAATAAAACACAAATACTTTATTTTAATGGAGCCTGCAGGTGTGATTCTTATTATTTCTGTTGCCTGATGAGTGTCTGTCATTTACAGGAAACTGCACTTCCCCCTGTTCATTTTCTTTTGTTGATAGTGTTTCTCTGTAATTATTATCAAACTGTTTATTGACTGCTGTGTTTTGTAAATGGATATGTAACTATCATGCCTCTGCATGAACTGCCTATTAAAGATAAATGAGAAAATATAATAGTATAGGAGCAGAATAAACGGTCTGTACCTTTGGGAAGAGCTGGCCTTTGTGTGGGCACAAGTTGTACAGATACACCTGAGGTTGATATGGATAAATGTGTAGAAGAAGACGATGAAGATGAGGAGGAGCCTCGGGTGCTGGAGGAGTCTGGCCTGATGTCTGTTTGGCGGTTAAATGTGTCCCCTCGCTCGGTTCCCCAGTTTGTTGTGTCAGTGAACACGTTCTGCCGTCCTCCTCCTCCCTAATGGGGACAAAACCAGCAAACGAGGGTGAAACACATTCACCTTATACAACATACGTGTGAATGTGCGCTCATATGTTCCATACATGTGCTGTGCTGGATCCTTTGCTGCCCTGCTGGGTGGTCTCTATCTGGCCTCCGTCGATGTGAGTGCTGGTGCCAGTGTTGGTGCCGGTGTGTATTTGTTGCTCAGTCACAGGACGGTAACCATAGCCACCGATGGCATAGTTCCCGTTGTTGCCATTCCTGTTGCCGTTGTTACCGTTGGTTCCATAGCCGTTGTAGCCGTTAGTTATCTTGTTATATATCAGGGCTCCGTTCTCGTCCTCACAGAACTGGCTGACCAACTTGGATTCCAGAGCTGAGACAGAAAGGAGAAGGAGAGCAGAAGTCAGAGCCGGGGACACAGGATGTGAAATTTGTTGGCTTTGCTAGCTTTAGGTAATGTTGGTCTGTCGGTCAGTCCACCATTTTGGTCCAGACTGAAATATCTCAACAACTATTGGATGAAATTAAATTTTGTATGGACATTAATGGTCCCCATACGAGGTATCCTATAGACTTTGCTGTTCCTCTGACTTTTCTTTTAGTGGCACCATGAGATGCCATGAATTTGTTACTCATACTCCCCTCAGGATGATGTTTAATAATCTATGGTTTATGATTTATTTGTGATATTAAAGGATCATAGCTGTGGTTTTTTGGCGCATATTTTAGTTATTTATTTGCAAATTGTACTCGTTTCTAACTTTGAACCATTTTTCAAATCATAGCTTAATGGAAGCAGCACCTGGCTTACAACTGAATTACCATGAAATATATACTTTGACAATGACAATCCAGGTATAGTTTGACATTTTTGGGAATTCTCTTATTCATTTTCTTGCTGCAAGGTTTAATCAGGAGAATAATTGTTTTATTGGCTGTGGGAGATTGTGGCTAAATCTGATTGGATTAACTGAAAGACGAGACGTCCATAGCTGATAAATGTGAATGAATGAGGCTTAAAGAAGAAGAAAATCCATACCACTCTCTGTACTACTGTCTGTACATGCCAGAGCAAACAGGTGATTAGCTTAGCTTAGCACAAAGCCTGGAAACAGGGGGAAACAGCTAGCCTGGGCCTATCCAAAGATAAAAGAAATCTGCCTACCAAGTTCATAAATCATCATTATCTCATCTGTTTTATCTGAAAAGGAATGTAAAAACCTCCCGAGTCTCGTCGCAACAGTTAAAACCAAATTAATGTTCCCTGTGATGAATTACATATCAGAAGCAAGTCTCTGCAAGTTGGTTTTCCAACTGTACTGTACTGACCTGAATGAGACATCAGTTTGTATGTTATGTTTTAAAGTAGTCAAGATTTCTGTCTAATATATACAAAAGGTGTGATCTTGTACAACAACTATTTATTTATACTAGAAGAGCAGTGAAGATACTTATATTCATCAATTTGTTACCTCAAATCGCACTGTAAGCATAATAAGCTAAAAGCTCCACTCTAGTATCACTGCTGACACCAAAACACTATGACAGGTAAGTGTTTCTAACCTGGCAGGGTGTTGAAATCATCGATGAGGAACATGTGCTCAGCATCTGGGTCCGAGGCAATAAGATTCAGCTCTCTCATGAACTCAGCCTGCGTTGGGTCCGAGGTGTTCACAATCCCTAGAGCAAACATCTCAATATTGGCAGCATGTGCTTCTCGTACTGCTATATCCAGCTTCACTGGCTCTCGCTTGTCCGTCTGCCCGTCAGTAATCACAATCGCCACCTTGCTGACTCCCAGGCGTGAACTGTAGAAGGCCTCCTGGGTAGCCTTACGGATGGCTGTGCCGGTGTAGGTGCCCTCCCCCATGTATGGGATGTTCCTGATGGCCTGCTTAATGTCCTGTTTGGTGACGTAGCGGGCCAAGTTGAACACCAGCTTCACCTCCAGGCTGTACAGCACCAGGCCAATCCTGGTGGCGTTGCGGCCCACTGTGACTCGGTCCACGAGTGCGTTTACAAAGTCCTTGATGATCTCATAGTTCTCTGGGCCCACGCTCTCTGAGCTGTCAATGACAAACACCAGCTCCATAGGCCTCTCCTTACACTTAATCCCACATCCTGAAACCACATCACATCAGTATATGAGATCATGGATGAAATGTCAGTTTGACGAGGTTCACTCTGTGGAATCTGATCTAATGATTTACGGATAAAACGAGACAGTGGCTTTGATACAGAAACTAAATCTTCTCTTATGACATTTGTGCAGCAAAGTCAATACTGAGAAGGGAAATGAATATTGCAAAAATCACAAGATACTTTACCACATATCTCTTTGATCATTCGAATGATGTCCTCTCTCTGAAATAAAATACCAACACAGTGTGAGCACAGAAACAAACACGAGCACTTACTGATTTAAATGTCAGCAGTGGATATTCAGACGCTTTACTTAAAGCTACAACAAGGAGTTTTTAACTGGTAATGAAACAGCTAGGGTAGGAAAGGTTGGAGAAATTAGCTAGAGGGGAGTAGATTTTGAAAGTATCCAACCAAAAATCCCACCCCTCCCTTTAGATCTCCTTCCAAAGCTACTTCCCCATTCTTCTCTGCCATTCTTGTGCCACTTGCTCGGTAGCTTTAGCAAATATCTGACTGGCTGGCTTGTGGAAGACTCCGGTTATGTGCAAAGGTAGGCAGGCAGGTCACCCAGCCAATCATTTTATTCGGCCCAAATGAAAATGGATCAATACAGTCCTTTGACTGCTACACATACTGGATTTCTTTTCAGAGCATTTGAACAAATATAACAAAAAAATGTCCTGAAATACATTACCTACTCTAGCTTTAATACTCTGTACGATCTACATAAACAAATATCAGCGAGAAGATAGAAAATGGATATTTCTACATAGTTATTCTTAATGCCTAAAATGAAGCAGTGGGAACAGTACTACACTGTTTGTCCACAGGGTCCGCTAGCGTTACAAAAGAAAAATCCCTTGTAGCTGCTTTAAAAGATGCAGTGTGTAGGATTTAGTGGTATCTTGGTACTCATTCTGCACGAAAATGATCATTGCAAGTTTTTGGATTACTCAAGACTGTATTGATGTGTGTGTTGTATTTTACTGTAGTTGTTTAATATTGGCCTAAACCCATAAAGGAACACCTGAACCTTCACTATACCAGAAAACTAAATCTGGACATACATGGTTCTCACTTTGTTTCAGTTGTAATCTGTAAAGTAGTGGAGTAAATATTTGCCTCTGAGATGTAGTGGAGTACATAAAGTAAGTATAAAGTTAAATAAAAATGGAAATCAATTACCTGAGTAAGTACCCGAGTAAATGAGTAAATGTACTTGTATATAATGTATATGCAAAAGAGACTCACAGTGAGGCCTGCCTCCCCTTTGACACCAGGTCGTCCCTAAGATAGAAGAAAAAAACATTTACCAGACAAATATTTGCTGACATGAATAATTACAGCATAATTCTGTTACATTCTCACAGTGCTGAGGAAGGTTCAAACCCAGTCACAAAGCAGTACACAATAAATGGACGTATAAAAGCATCATCAGTGTCACTCACAGGTTGCCCCGAGAGTCCGGGGTCTCCCAAATCTCCTTTGATTCCCTTCAGCCCCCTCTCCCCCCCCAGGCCACGGTCCCCCTGTCACAGAACAGTGATTAGAACATAATATGTGAACATGAACGCTCATCCAAAAGTCCCAGACAACATGGTGACTCACTTTAGCTCCAGGAAAGCCTTCTCCAGGTAGCCCCCTTGGCCCTGTCACGCCCTGGGATCCCTGCTCCCCCTGAATCAAACACATGTATTAACTATGTTACATGTGCAGGGCAGACAGAGACCTCTCATATAGAGGTTACAGATAACCTACCTTTGGTCCTTGAACTCCTTGACCTTGTGGCCCTGTTGGCCCTGGAGGGCCAGGCCGCCCAGTGTTACCCTGCAGCACAGAGGACACAGTGAGCAACACATTGGAGGGGACTTTATCCCATTTTTTATTTTATACAATTTCTCTTTTTTACCATCTAAATTCCCAAATGAATTATAATAAATAATAGGCACCATTGGCCCTCCCTCACACACTATTGTTAACAAATCCCTGTCCTCTGCGGGTTGTCCCAAGTCCAGTGTGTAACATTTAGGAGGATCCATTTGCAGAAATACCTTAGAATGAGACGTTTTTTTTTTTTTATCTACAGAGGCAGTGCGTCCTCTTCTATGGAGGTCGTCATGTTGAACTGCCAGGTTTTTACATTAGCCCAAAACAGACAACTCAAATACAGGCTCTATAGAACTTCAACCACTAAAACTAATCCATGAAGTCATGATTCACTTAAACAAATTTTCTGTAACGTGTATCACACATTGTAACCAATTATTCATATTCTTTGTGTAAAATGTGTCACCGTCATTTTTCTTGGAGATTTTTTAAGGTGAGGATAATCTGTTTTACAAGAGTCATCAATTTCTGACACCACCGTTCTCTCAACACGATATAGTCTGCCAACATGATCTGCTTCCTCATTTTCTTCCATTAGTGGCGTTAGGTGAGTCCTCAATTAAATCTTGACCTCCATCGCTGTGACAGTGCTCAGACCTGTGGAAACACTTGTCTGGAGCCTGCAGGGAATCTGGATGTGATATCTGAGCACACGTGGATGCTGGGTGTTGCCTCGGTTAGGCCTGTTAGACCAAGTGCTTCTCATCAGACACATATGTCTGCAGAGATTCACACTCTGCACCAATGTGACAGAGTGCTGTGGGGAAAATCATGATAAATACCCTGAACAAATGAACTGGCAGCCTGTGAATATAAGGCCCCCGTGGTGGGCATGTTAGCACACAAGATAAAGCACTCTCCCTTTTTTTCAATCTGGAACTGTCTGACGGCAGCAGAGATGTAATTCTTTGGAGAATATGACTCAGTCATGACCATCTGGTTGTATGTCAAATAAAATTATAGAAGGATTTCTGCTTAAGTATTCACATTACAATGTTGTCCTTGTTGACTTGTGTTTGCAGAAACAGAACACAAATTAATTTTTTTTAAGGCGATAAGTCATTTTAGTTCAAAGTGACGTAAAATATGAAAAAAGGTTAAAGTTATGAGTTACCGGAGGTCCTTGGAGGCCTTCGCCCGGAGGTCCTGGTAAACCAGGCAACCCACGGAAACCAATATCCCCCTGCAAAGAGGAAAACACAGGGAAGAGTTATGAACATTTACAACACAGCAATTTACAATCCATCAAATAAATGAACTTCTGTCCAGAGTAAAATCTTGTTTCCTGTAATTAGTTTCCTCAAACAAATGACCAAATCTTTCTCTGGGGTGATACTTTCACTTCATCTACAATGCAGATTCAAACACAGCTTTGAAATTGATCTTACAGTATTTGACAATTGCTTTGGTCTCGTTTTCACAACAGCACAAAATGTTAGACTCCTGATTCTGGCCTCACATAGCACACACAAAGGACCCATCTGTATCGTATTAGGAGATACGTACATTAGGTTGTAATGTATCGCCTCGTTTGACAGCATTGTGTATGTTTACAACTAAATTTGAATCTTTCTAATCTTCATCAACACAGAGTCAGCAGTGGTCATTTCCTTAATATAAAACAAGGAAAAAATGCAATTTATGCAGACATCAATATTTGAAATGATGTTGAGTAAGAATGACTTTTAAATGTTCAATATGTTGAATATGTAAATAAGGTGGTCTAGTGTCTGACTTTACAGTGAATCATTCACAAAAGATGGAATGATGTTTATATCTTTCTGCTCAGTATCGACCACGGTCTGTTTTAGTTTAAACATCAAACCTCCACAGCTGGCAAACACTGAAGTAACAAAAATTACAGTTCCTGGAACTGCCACTTGAGGCTGGTTACAGAAGTGAGTCGATGTTTACAGTCTGAAACAAAAAAATATTTTGGTTGCTATAGGTAAATATACCATTCATGAGAACTGTACAGTGGGTACATTTCTATATAATGCCCCCCTTTAAATAATATTAAAGTAATGCATAATTAAGGACATGGCTGCTTTGACTGACAGGTGGATGGCGTCACAGTAACCAGGCCCGCATCAGCTCTACCCACGCTCCACATCTTTGCCCATTTTTGGATTAGCCAGGAACCAGTGGAGAGGGCGACAGCCAGAGCCGACCACTCTGAGTTTCACAACGGCTCTTCAGAAACCTATGTGTGACGTCACGTAGACTACGGCCATTTTTAATGACACAATTGGTATTATATTTCTAATGCTATGAACTATGAGAAAATTAACGAGGAATGGAAACAAGTAATCTTATAAAGCACACAGGTTAGTCGAACAGATCCAAGTTCTCACCTTTGGTCCAGGGACGCCAACTCCCTCAAGGCCGGGTTCGCCTTGAAGTCCAGGCAGACCAGGAGGACCCTAAACAACACAGAACATGGAGGTACAAATACACTATTAGAGATAGTGAAATTAATGAAAGAATAGTTCGACGTTTTCCTAGAAAACTGGTGGAGACTCCAGGAAGCTACTAGAAAATGTGATTTCTTTCATCGGTTTATGCCCAATTCCCATACGGTGTCTCCCTAGATACGGTCTTAATTTAGGAAAATATATCCAGGAGATAGATATAAGGACCAGACCTACTGTAACGTTTGGTAATAAATGTCTCATTGATAGATATATGGCTGGAACTGATGTGTAGAATAAGGAAGACAAAAGACGGATCAATGATTTAATGTAATGTGTATGAATATACAGATTTATGAGCGGACAGGTGGGCATGTCAGTATCTAAATCAGTTCCTCACCGTGGGGCCGGGATAGCCGTCTCCTTTGGGACCGAATGGACCTGCAGAGCCTCGATCTCCGCGGTCACCCTGCAATCGACAATTAGGTTAAAAGTCAATAATTCATTCACGCAAAGGACACAACGTGATTTACAGAAGGATGTTCAAAGGAAACTGCATCGGAATGTGGATGTAAATGGACACATGTGCTTTCTGCTCCTCTGCGTGCTTTTGTACGGTGCAACACATTAAGACAAGGGAAGGTTAAAACTATACAACATGTTGTAGCATTTTATGAACTGGGAGTTTGAACAAATGTTGGAGCAAGGACAGATATGCAGATTTGTGTATCCTCTGAAATTTTTCGACATCTTCTCTGATCTTGCTGGATGCTGGGAAACGGTCCTCATGGTGAAAGATCTGCCTCTCATTACTTTCATTGAGCTGTTCAGCCGTGACAACCTGCTTGCAAAATCTGACTTCAAATGTGTGTTTCGGCTGGCAGACATCCAAGACATGAGTCAGACAAGAGTTAAATACGTTGTTTTTTAGAACGAAGGTTTAGTGAGTGTTACCTTTGGACCAGGAAGTCCGTAGCCAGTCTCTCCAATTGGACCAGGAGGACCACTTGGGCCAATATCGCCCTAGAACACATGTTAGCTCTAATTAGCTCTATATTGTCATACTACAGTCACGACATATATCATACATCCTGAACATGCATTCTTTCTGGGGGCAGCTGCAAATAAAAAGTCAGATAGTATGGATTCTTATGGGGACATTACCCTACTTCTCAATTGATTCATTGGCTCCATAAACAGTTTCCTAATGAGTTTATGGTCTCAATCTCTGATCTCAAGTCTTCTTCCATACAGCATGATGTTCATTTAGTAAATTATGGTTCAATTCCGAGTAAAATAGAAGATAAAGCAGGGTATGCTTTTGGGCGTAGCTACCTTGTGATTGACAGTGAGTCCGTCCAGTGCATCTCACAAAACTGAGATCAAACTGTCAAACTATCAAATATGAAACAAGATTCTCTTACTGCGTTGCCTATTTGTAGTTGAATCTTTTTGCATAATGTTTTTCTGTGATACAAGAGTGTGTATCCACCATTTGCAGCTATTGATGACTCAAAATTATGTGCAGCCAATGAGCGCAGCTCAACTCACAGTACGTCACTGCCACTGACTCCAAAAAACCGTCACAGTGACGGACATAATGCCAAACTTGAGGCCTTAAAATGGCACAAACCAATGGCTGATGTCACGACTGATTTACACATGCTTATGACTCAGTAGAAGAATGTGGGGGTGTCTATATGTGCAGAGATCCTGCCCTCTGCATTTTCTAATTATTTTTCTGTGCTCAGTACGTTTCTTGACGTCTACCTTTGGCAAAACGCAGAGTGTGAAGTCGGGACTCTGTAAAAACCTAGTGACAAGATTACATTTCTCTCTCCTCTGCTCTTTGTCTGTCTTTAGTGTGGCCGCTGCTGCTCTTGCTTTCTGATGCTTGTCGAGCCGTACATTTTGAATGCAAGACTTCTACTTGAAATGCAGTGTTTTTAAATTATGGTACATTTTGTATCATGCATTCACACAAGGAAACACATAACTCCTGACGCCTGTTTCACTCTATTCCACTGATAGTGGTGGCAATAACCCGCAAATAAGTGGCAAAAACCCGCAAATAAGTCTCGAAGTGCAACCGCAAAGACAGTGCATGTTTTGTGCAAATTTTTTAGGAGGTAAAAGCATTCAACATGTTTACTAGACTTAAAATATACACATAATGCACAGTTTTCTGAAGTCACTAGAGTAGGAATAGTTACCTTGGGCCCTGCGACAAAACGGCCTGGTGGACCAGGCATGCCCAGCCTGCCTTGTGCCCCTGGTTCTCCCTGATGAAGATGAAAGCAAGCCGAGTTAAAATCTTTAATTTCACCATTCACACACTTCCAAATCCAGGACTCAATTAAAAAATGACTGAATTATTTAACAGCTAATAATAGCTTAATTGCGCCTCACCTTTGGTCCTGAGGGTCCAGCAATTCCAGGTGGACCAGTCAAGCCCCTTATGCCTCTTTGGCCTTGGTCACCCTTAAGGATCACATTGAGAATACAGTTACTAATCTGTTAGCTGTGACTTTAGACTTTAGTGACTTTTGTCTCAAGTCAGCACTTGCTAAAGTTTTAGCAAGACATGCAAAAAAGTGAGTATGAAATGTCATGTCAATGTTTTTACCTTTTCACCCTGGGTGCCAATTCCAGGTGCCCCCTCTGTTCCCCTGAGACCTATAGCTCCTGGCTCACCCTAAAGACAAAAACACACTTTTTTATATTAGATCAAACAGACACATGTAGATACAGTAGGTGGTCAGTTAAACTACCTTCTGTCCAGGAGCTCCGTCCTCCCCTGGCAGGCCAGGCAAACCAGACAGTCCTGTCGATCCTGGCTCACCCTGGGGACAGATTCATGGATCTGTTTCAGTTTATGGATTGGAAAATTAAAGAGCATAGATGGTTGCTGCTGATGTAAGTTTTGACTCACCTTAGCTCCAGGGTCTCCAGCCCCTCTCTCTCCTGGGGCGCCAACCTCGCCTGGCAAACCTTGGTCTCCCTGTGTGGGACAAGGCAACATGACATCATCTTATTCTCTGACTATACAATGTTGCTAATGTTTTGCGAAGGAGTGTAGCTTTGATGACTGAGACCATTAAATAATTAAAACTAAAACTGTTGGCCTTGATGGCATTGAGAGTGTATGAACAAACCTTGGAACCAGGCATGCCCTCTCCTTGTGGGCCCCTGCTCCCTGGTGGCCCCCTTGGTCCTTCCATGCCCTGCAAGGATAAACAGATGCAGTTATAAAATTACTTAACACTATACCTGTGTAATAAGTTTGGTAATCTCACTTATTTCTTAATGACACCTCCAGATTGTTTTCAAACATGTAGTCTTCACACCCAACCAACACTGACTCAACTGACATCACTTGAGGGCATTAATCATACTTCACACAGCTTCCTCCCAAACCACAAAAGGCTTTATACAACTCTCTTCACACATCGAGGTACTCTAGCCTGGGAACTAGACGAATCTGCTGAGCTCATGATGTTTAATTTGTTCTGGCAGATACGTCTTCACACTCGCAACTCATCCACTCATCAAGCTCCTGCATTGTAAAACTCCGGCTCTCTCCTCCAGATCGTTCAGTTTGCCAACGCGGTACTAATGCCACAGCCTGTACACTCTAGTTTGAGTAATTTCCTCATGTTTTTGGACTGCTGATTAATCCTGTGTTTCCCTGTGTTCTGGTTCACTTCTCCTTGAGATTCACCTGCCTCGTTCTCCTGTCACACCAGACCAATTACCAACTCCGCTCACGCTGCTCGTCTCCATTTGTCTGGGTTTCACAATAAACTGTATTAAACTGTGACCAACGTTGTAGAGTCTTGCACCTGGGTTCAGAAAATGGACCAGGAACCGGCCACCACAACTCGTGTGTGTTGCTCAGCTCTATGTCACATGTTTCGTTGCTCTGATTGGTTGTAGGTCACGTTTCCAACTGCGTCCAGAGGCATTTTGGACTAATTTGCATATGTGAATTAGTTTGGAGTTCCCCTTTAACCTACAATATAAGTTAAGTATTGCTGCCATCTTGTTCTATTAAAATTATAAATTAAGTGAAATGAAACGCTTGCTATTTACAGCCTGACAGTTTTAAACATTTTGGATTAGCTCAGTAATACAGATATTTTTTTTTTTCCAGTGATGAACAATATTAACAAATTATCATTCCTTCTTTCACAGTTAGCTGAACAGTAACTGGCATTTAAAGTTTGGCTTAAACACATCACCTTGTGCTTTAAACAAAATCATCTGTGCATTAATAGAGCTTACTTGTAGTGCAGTGTGAGAGGCACACACACCTGTTCCCGTCTCTTCCGCATGTCAGTGAGCAGTGGACTATAACCATATTCCGACAGTAATTAACTTGTGTTTTGATATCAGGGAAGTGATCTTTGGCTCAGCTGTCAGCAGGAAACAGTCTCCTCTGAGTCTCCAGCTGTTGCTCCAAAACATGAACAGTTTGCAACTTATGCAACATGTTGCTTTAATTACGACAGACAATCAGTCAGACTGACCTTATACAGGGGCTACATCATCCTATCTAATTAATCTTTTTTTCTGTTATCTGGAGCCCAGGGGTGGGGTGAAAAACCCCATAGCTGGTGTCTCTTCACAGTTCATTCATTAAATAGCAACAATAACCATTTATTTATTTGCAGCTCTTTAAGGCTGTACTGAGATATAGCAATTCGACATCAGCATGCTAACATGCTGATATTTAGCAGGTATGTTTAATGTGGCCACCATTTTAGGTGGAACATGTTAACATCACCTAACAAGCACTTAACACAAAGCACAGTTGATGCTAATGGGAATGTCAGTGGTTTTGCAGGTATTTGGTCCTAAACCAAAGTATTGCACAGATTACAATTTAGACCTGCTGATGGCTCCAGATGAAATGTTAAGGGGTCACCCAAGTGATTACATGTCTGAACCAAAGCAGTCAGATGTTGTGTTTTGGTTGCCATAACAAATTCCCATTTTCCAGTTTGACCATATCTTATTGTTCCATTTAGATATTAAGGCTTAAGGTGGAGTACAAATCTTCATGCTTTGCTTTGTTTAGTATCTATTAATGTAGTTGTACCAATTTAACACTGTTATATTATATATTTTCAAAAAGGAGGGTCTTGCTATGTGTAAGGTTCAGCCCCCCTACCTAACTCAATCATTCTTGTACAGTCAGAAACACTGGTGCGGAATTTACCATAAGGAATAACATGTAAAACTGTAATAGTATAACAGTCTGAGTCATTTTATCAAATACTTGCCTTCTCGCCCTGTATGCCAACTCCTGGGAGACCGAGGGGCCCTGGAAGACCTGGAGGGCCAAAATCCCCCTACAGGTACAGATAAGAATGGAGGTTAATGATGATAACAGCATGTAAGTGTTGATAGCATTACAGTGCAGCACACAGTGCAATTCATGATTTATTGCATGTTGAAAGCACCTAAAACGTGCATTTCCTTTTGGCTCAGTAATGAATATATACTGTGAATTACATCGCATGAGTACATTCATGCAGTAAAATACACACAACTTGTGTCTTTTCATCAGTCACACGCAACATGAATGGACTATGTTAACGCACAGAAAACCCTGTAGGCACTGGTTTGTCATTACCACATGAAAACACTACAATTATCTAAGATGAACTTCACCACAAGGCTACAGTAAAGCTGTCAGTACAATCACTGCTAAGGACTCCTGCGTAAAAATCTTTATGGTTTTAAAGACCTATGTGGAAGCAGTTTCATTCATTCTTAAACGTTAACGTCATATTGCTGTAACATAAGATGAATTATGTAACTTTAAAACACAAACTCAAAGTCTTAGTCATCCCATCAGTGTCTGTGAGCTAAAAAATTGCCAGATGGCTGCAAAGATCTGCAAACACATCCTGAAAGGTAGAGAGAATACCTTTATGTAATTGTATGACTGTACCAGTGCAGAGCTAGCTTTCCCACATTCATCAGGGCAAAACTGTGAAGCTGCACTCCTCCTACACTAGTTTTAACCTTGATTCATCACGTGTAGATGGTGACCTCCTATATAACACCATGCTGAATGCAATCACCGGTGGCTCTGCCAACTCTTGGCCTTCTTCGCAACAGGACTCTGGCTTTATCTTTATGCCTGTGTAAAGGCATTTGAGCCAGGAGACTTATTTACAGCCTGTCTGTGCTCTACCTTGTCTCCTTTGATTCCAGCGCCCGGCTGTCCTCTGGGCCCCCGTGGCCCCTCCAAGCCTCGCTCTCCCTGTGAAGACAGACAGAGGAGTTATTGCATTTTGTTTCTTGAAATAGCAGGTAATATATGAAAACATGACAATGCAAGAGCATATGTAGGATAATGGGAAGAAAATGCTGTGTTTTCTCAGTCTCAAGACGAGTCGGACAAATGGAAAAACTTATTTTCACGACTCTCACATAAACCCATATCCACATAAATCACCCAGTACAAACAGATGATAGAAGCCAAATGTGGGCTTTGTGATTGAGGTTTGGGTAAAAACATTCCCTTTTAATTCCTGTTTATGTTAATGTCTACATGTCAAGATTGGGCTTAAGGTGATGGACAGCACTGTTTACAGAGGCAATATCCAGACAGAGACATTTTATTGTTAGACAGTTGTGGCAGTGAAGTGAAAGTAAATTGTTACTGCACACTGTTGCCACAGAAACCAACACAATGCCCTTCAAAGTCACTGTGAGTTATTCCAAGACCCCGCTGACCCAAAATGTTTCCTTCTGTTGGTTACCTTCCCTTGGACATTTACTATACAAACTGATGTAAAGTACCTACAGTTTGTCAACAGAGGACAGTTTTAACATTCCTCACCTGCAGGGGAAGCTTCTCTGTACCTCCCAGAAATATTAATCTATGCGAGTGATTTGTGACTTCATAAATGGCTTCATACATCAAAATGTATCCATAAAGGCAATGTGGAAATGTAAGACCCCCAGATTACTAAACAGGAGAAGAGTGAAGCTGTACTGAGGAAACGATAATGTCAACATGCTCACACGCTCAGAATGACTAATAATTAATGCTAATATGCTGATGTTTAGCAGGTATAATGTTTACCAAGTTCACCATCTAAGTTCTGGATAAAAGCATGCTAACACAAAGTACAGCTGAGGCTAATGACTAATGCCATTAGTTTTGAAGGTATTTGGTCATAAACTAAAGTATTGGATAAATCAAAACATTGAACTTCTGATGCCACTAAAGGAAAAGTTAAGGGATCACCAAAGTTATGATTTTCAGGGGTTAATGTCTGTAGCAAATTTCATGGCAATCCATCAAAAGGCTGCTGCAACATATTTAAAACCACAGATATGAACTTCATGGTGGTGAAAAGTCAGGGGAACACCAAAGTCATCAGGGTTCAATTTCTGAGGACCATGAATGTCAGTGCAAAATTTCATGGCAATCTATCCAATATATGTTGAGATATTTCAGTGTATAAGGGAACATTACTAACCTGTTGGTGTTGCTAGAGAAAGGTCAGAGCATCACCAAAGTCATTGGGATTCATCCTCTTCAGACCACAAATGTCAAGATTGTTAATGTGGAAGATTCTAGTTAGTTGTTGAGGTTTTTCAGTTTATGATAAGCTAAAATCAGTTGATAATATTGGGCTCACATGTAAATGCGATGAACTTTGATGGTAATAGCTTTCTGATGTTACTCCTTTGAGCTGCTCTTGAGTTGTCAAAGATTAAAAATTCTGCTCAGTGGAGACGCCGTGCTTACTTTGTTAGAATGAGCTCAGCTTACTGTTCCAGATACCATGATGTTTTTATGCCTGTTGAGATGATAGGGATGTTTTCCAGCCAGTTCAATAAAAGTTTTATATGACAGTCGCAGTATGCACATGGTTAGACTCAGCTTGGCTTCTAGCAACAGTGTGTTTTATTTCCTAACTCATTAATACTATGCTTGCTGCTCACTGTGTATTATTGGACCAGTAGAGGTGGAGGGAGGGACCCAAAGCCTGAGCCATCTCTATATTTGCACATTAGACATTAGGTGCGCTTTTAACAGCATCTAAGTGGTTCGGGTTATTGACCCTTTTATGAGGAAAAAACATACTGAATCAAAAATAATGATTCAAAGCAGAGTATGTTACATCTCTTAAGATATGTCTGGAGAGGATCTATACGTATTCAAAAACAGAAAAGGCAGGAATGGAAATAGTGAGGGATTAGACCAGTAATCCGAGTTGACAGTGAGTACAATGAAAAGAGTGCGGTGTGATGTTTGGCAGTACGACTCTGCAGAGAATTCTTATTTCCCTTGAGACAATTCCCCTGTCTTCCAAGGTCATCCAAGGACAACAGAGACACAGTGACAGACACAGACATACATTGATTAGCATAGTAATGCTGTATTTGCCTGTAATCTTCAAAAAGTATAAATTTATTGTCATAACTCTGTGATCTCATGTTGGCACACAAGCTGAGGTGCTAATGATGTGGGAAAAGGGTAATATTGCTGCCGAGCTCATGTGAATCTGGAGCTTGTCGAGACACGTCATGTGAAGAACACTTCTTAAGAACAAGAACGCCATCTGCGAGTCCGCGGTCAAACCTCCTGTTGAGGAAAGAAACGAGCACCCCCTGAGGCCATCTCTAACGTCGGGAGATACACCTCCTATCCTGGGATGGAAACTAGCTGTTACCATCTTGGAGGAAAGTCGACAAATAATAAATCAGACAAAGGTCCTGGGGAAGTGGAAAAAGTATGATATTCACCTGGATTGTAGTTCTGATGTAAAGCCACACTGTTGGTGTTGTAACGAAGCCAAAAAGTGATTACATTTGTCATTACCTAAAGACATTCCACTGACTTAATCACACTTAATTTAACTGTCTGCAATTATCAAAACAACCAAAGGGTTTGGTCTACAATTTGAAAAGAAGCCCTCACATTTTACAAAGCAGTGAGGCTGTGCAATTACAGTTATATCGAGTTCATAAGTGCTGAGAGCTGGTGTGGCTTTGGGGCAGATGTTTAAAAATATCGAAGCATTAAATTAAATCTGGTAGATATTTCTCTTCAAAAATTAAAACGCATTAAAGGAGCTCTGATGGGTATAAATGCTGGGATAGGGCCGATTTTACACAACTGGATTAAAATTAACATTTTATTGCCAGAGCATTAGAAATAATGAGGCCATGAGTCTAACATGGACGGACTATGGTGATCATGGCCTATTCCTGCAGATTCACTAAAGCCTCAGTCACACACCGTGTATTATGTTATTTTGGTATCGGACATGATCCACATTTTAGTTCTGCTATGTTATCCATATGTGAATAATTGAAATGAAGCAACCTACTGCTTATAGTGAAAGGATATGGCACATGAATGACGACGCAAATGCTGCATTCACATGGAATCAGACAGATGGTTGACGGCAGGATGGTAAAATTAGGTGAGGTTGGCAAAGATAGTAGTAACGGTAGTACATATTTTTTGCCATCTTCCAAAACAGGATGAGGAATTTAATCTATATATTGATATATTGCCACTGCACATTTGTTTTTATTATACTTAATCACATGCTGTATTTTAATAGCTGTTACTAAAAATGGAACCAGGAGAAAGTCTCAACTGTTGATAATCGTGGTTTCAATCAAAATTTGCACCCCATCTATCAAGGTATTGATCAAGCCATCAAACTCCTGGACAAGTTCAGATTGAGTGCCTGTAACATGGCAGCACGTACAGGTGTCTGTTTGACATTTATGAATCTATTTTACACTAAGACTGTGTTTTTCTGTGATAAAATTACAGGTGACAGATAACATATTAAGTGATTTAATTGATTAGATTTCATTTTTACACATTTTAGTACATGTCTTATGACACATGTTTCTACTAAGGAAGGTTCCCCCTTTGAATTTCCTCTGCACTACAGATTCTAGTGGTGAAATGATGAATGTCTTTATCTTTTTGGCCTCAATATATCTGACATGTGTAATGTTGGAATTCTAGTTGTAAGCACCTCAGCTCACTAAGAGAACCCACATTCCCAGAAAAAAAAAAATACAAAGAGCAATCTTTTAAAGGTATAAAGAATGGATTCTGTGTGCACCTGTGTGTGTGTGTGTGTGTGTGTGTGTGTGTGTGTGTGTGTGTGTGTGTGTGTGTGTGTGCACCTGTGTGTGTGTGTGTGTGTGTGTGTGTGTCCACATGTGGTAGAGGGACAATATGTGTGTGTTAGCGTACGAGAGAGTGTGTACAGCCTGAGAAGAGACAGACGCAGGAACAGACTCACTCTTTCCTTTGTCTCACTGCGTCACTCACTCTATCATGTGTTGAGGTGTCCTGGCTATTTTCCTGTGTTATCTCTGCATCTTCCACTCTGCGCTGGCATGTTCTTGTGTCCTCTAGCAGGGACGATCAATAGACCGGATCATACTATGAGGTAACGAGAGCCATACTGCGCTGCACTGTTTGTGAATTTATGGCACCTCTGTGATGTGTTATCATATCTTGTAACCATACATGTCATTACGTCCTCGAATCTGGAGCCCAGACGGGGCTTTTGTGCAGGTGGGTGAATTGAAGAAGGGGAATTGAAATGGGGTCAAGAAGGTTCATAAGCTCTTAACTGGCAGTGCGTGATCCTCCCAGGAAAAACCCCAAAGGCTCACCATGGAGCCCCCAAGAGAGACATTAAATAACACTAACTCACCTTTGGCCCAGGCAGACCTTCTCCTATAAGTCCTCTCTCTCCTTGGCCTCCCTGTGGCCCTTGAGGCCCCTGAGGAAAACAAAACAATGCAGTAACAGTAATTGTTTGATCATTAGCAACCTTAACTGGTCACGGCAGGTGCCTGTGGATGTGATAACGGCGATACTTAGTATGTGAGGACTAAGACTACCTTCATTAGTAACTTAGCAAACCCAATGAGCACATACCAGTAACGTACTCACTACATTAGTTTGTGGGATTACAGGTTAGAAATATCTCTGTTAAGGACCGGCACATCCAATGTGTGAGAGCCAAGATGTTGCTACTCTGTCCTGCTCTGTATTTGATTTTCACTCCAACAACTCCAAACTCATTTCCAAGATAGTGTTATCTTTCCCAAACTCATCGGTTGAGGTGTATTCACATTAGTACAGTAAATACTGCGCCCACCCATGCAAAACGCGTACCTCAAGACTCTTTTATTTCCACTCTAATGTGAATATCCTAATTTTTAAACACCTATTTACTTTTGTAAGATTGAAACATACTATACAGGGTTATATTAGAACAAACGCTTTTTTACACTTTATATATCGTATAATACTGTGTGGTGTGTGTGATGGTTTCTTACCGGTGGTCCAGGCTCGCCAACTCCCTGAGGACCGGGAGGCCCTGGTTGCCCCTGGAAACCGACATCACCCTGTGGAGTGTGAGAGAGCGAGAGTGGTGCAGGAACAGGATGAGACACAGGTGGATTATTATGTTCTCATGACTTTTTTTCCCCAAAACATTAGGTTGGCAAACTTTACCTTGGGTCCCTGAAGGCCAATCCCTGTTTCCCCTTGGATTCCAGGTGGCCCAGGAAGTCCCCTTTCTCCCTATAAAAAGAAAGGCAGGGAATATACATAAATACACACACACACACGCACAAATACACTGCTTTGTTCTTCGGACATCGGTAGAGCTGTGCAGGTATTCAGACGACCAAATCCAGTAAAAAAAATACAAACTTTCTTCAGTTTTCTTTGGGATCCACCCACTACCCACAAACACACTGTTTATCCCCCCTAATATTCAGCTACTTTTACAGGGGGTTTAAACATATACTATTATTGTTCCTTCATTCCTTCAGTCAAGACTTTATTGGTAAAGAATGCAATTATTCACTGAAAGGTTGTAAATCACGACCATGGTGTGCAGCAGGAGGGCACAGGAGAGGCGTGAAGAGGGCGTGGAAATGTTAGTTGCATACCGGCATTTTTCCCCCCTTTCCCCTTGCCCTTTCAAGCAAGTTGGGACAATGTTTAAAGCCAGACATTAGTCTGCCATTCAGGTGATATAGGATGACAGCCAGACAATCAACATGAACATTCTTCCAAAATAATTAAGGAGGGAACACTTGGTGGGGAGTGTTGGCTCATGGCAGAATTGGCAGCTATAACACGGAGCTTAAAAAGTATGAACAGACAAATAGGCTGACAAGGTAATAACAGATGAGGTGCTTCAGTGAGGGGTTTCAAACGTTCCAGTGGCGATAGATCATAACTCACACATAAATGTTCAAATGTATGGTCACCCGATCAGTGTAATCAGTTTGTAGGGCTACTTGACATTTGTGATGTTATTTATGCTCGTGATGAATTGATTTAATCTAAACACATTTTAAATGTCAACTTCGTGAGTGTAATGTTATTCTGAGAGAAACATCTCAGGAACAGAAAGAACACTTTATTATGGCACGTGTTTTCCCCACTTTATATTCTTCCACATGCAGCAACACATTTCATTTTTCACCTTTGACACTCTGCAGGTAGCGAAGTTATTAATTATCTTTGTGCTGGTGAATCTGCTGACATCGATGGCCCTTTGATACAACTATGAAAGAGACTTAATTCAAACCAGACCAAGAGACCCAGTCTTCTTCAGACATGCATCTGGTTATGGAAAAACACAAAGTGAATTCACTCTGATGTAGTGGAGTGAGGAAAAAGTTTGATTTACTACATTCTTAGTTTTCTTTTGTACCTAAACACTTCCCAGATTTCAAAAATTTGGTTCAAGCATGTCAAAAAGCAATTTCAAAAGCATCAAGACAGAGGAATACTCACTTTTTTACCCATTGAACCTTCAGGTCCGATATCGCCAGGTGGACCAGAGAGACCCTGAATTGTGAAAAGGTGTGAGAGAGTTACAAAGCAGGTATTGCAAAGCAGCAGTTAATATAGATTATCAAGGATTAAACAGACCCTGAACATGAACTACTACATTATTTTGTGGGATTATGAATTAGGAGCAAAGCAAAACTTGAACCTTTGTCTTGCTTTCAACCAGTTCACAGACTTAGTGTTAATTTGTTTTTATATATATATATATATATAATAAAATCTTCTGCCAGCAGTTGTCATTACAAGCCATACCTTTTTTATTACCGTAAAATGCATATGTGTTGTGCTAGCTTGACAGGTGTAGCAATGCTAGCTAAGGGGAAAAAGCCTTAGCGAAGGGTCAATTGGATTTTATGATAAAAATAATGGTAGATTTTACCTGGAGTCCACGATTTCCTCTTGGGCCAACGGTACCTTCAGGTCCCTAGAACAGAACAGGAGTTGCTTGAAATTCATAATCCATGGTGATCAATACAAAACAATACTTTTATCCTAACAGGGTTGTGTGTGTTATAATGACAGAGTGGTAAATAAAAGTAGTAGTATAGAGAATGACCTGTAACTGGTGATCACCGTAAAATAAAACTATATCTCTTTGAGGTCATTTATATTTCACTCTGATAAAAAAGGATTCTGACGTTATCACTGAAGAAATGACAAAAACAAAATAAAATTGAAACAGCAAATTACACATGAACATTAAAGGGCAACATACTCTGTCTCCCTTAATTCCAGGTGTGCCACACTCCCCTCTCTCTCCCTGCAAGAGAATAAAAAGCAGTTTAGTGAAGTAGCGTAGCATCATTTTGCATAATTTTAGACTTCTAATCAAATCCCATAGCTATCCTATAACAATGTTGTGCAATTTCCAAGGAACACCTTATCTTGGAAACCCGCTCCTGGCAGGGATATTAAAACCCATTATTCCAACAACTAATGACATGGGATTTACGTCAAGTAATTCCTTCAAAAGGAAAGTAACTAGAGATACTTACAGACACTTGACATTAAACACAGATGAAAAAAGGAGAATAAAATGGCATGATATTTTCTTAACTGTGTATGCTTCCTTTTAATGCACTTTATCAGGTCTGGAAAACATAATTCTCCAGCCTCTCTCACTGTTGCAGATTTTACACTAGCGTGGGAACCTGACACTTATGAACCACGGGGCCATAGTGAGATATATACTAGCAGCAGAATCCATACAATACCTTCTCTCCTTTGTATCCCGGTTTTCCCTGTGTGTACAAAACAGTAATGTTAAGTAAGGGGGAGACAGGCAACAACCAAGCAGAACAAGACTTTCCTTTTAGACAAATTATTATTTATAACGTTTTTATACTGTAATTGTCGACTTTACTTCATTTAAGACCCTCAGCTCACCTCGGATCCTTCCCGACCCGGAAGTCCACTCAGCCCACCCTCGCCCTACAGGAAAGAGGGATTTTAGTTTTACTAGGAAATGCAACCATCCTGGTTGGTGCCAGCAACAGTAAGTTTGTATTATGTAACTGATAGTTGTATGTAATATGAAGAGGCAGCACCTTCTGTCCTTTTGGGCCAGGGCTTCCATCTTCTCCAGATCGACCCTTCTTCCCCTGTAGAGAAAGTCATGGAAGCACCATTAGGCAGAAAACAAGTGCAATCATTTGCAAAGAAAGCAGGAACTTTAGATTGATGGGTTTGCAGTATAAAACTGATGTTTCAGCAATTGTGTGCCTTCTTCAGAGCTTAAAGGGAAAAGCATGACAGCATCGTATATATAGCTTCTGGAGATGCATGAAATCATCTGTAAGTATGACTTAAATATAAAGCTACAGCCTGCAACTGGTTAGCTTAGTTTAGCATAAAGACTGGAAGTAGAAGGAAACAGGAAGCCTGGCTCTAGGGAAATGAATGAGATAACGTGTTAATTAGTGAGCCTTTGTGATGCTGGCAGATGGATTTTGTTACCTTTGGACAGAGCCAGGCTAGCTGTTTCAAGTCTTTATGCTAAGAACCATCTCCTGACTCCAGCTTCATTTACTATACAGATGTTAGTATTATCAATCCATCTAACTCTGCAAGGAAGCAAATAAGCGTATTTCCAAAATGTCAACCTATTCCTTACTTACATATAATAGTTTTTTGACATAGTCTGCAGGCTACAGCAGGATATACATCTGAAATCACAGTATATACAGTATCAATCAATAATCCATTTCTGCTTTGTTGTTGAGAGTTAAATGAGAGGATGGTATCACGAAGCTATAGCCAGCAGCCGGTTAGTTTAACTTAGAATAAGAAATACACAACTTTGTTTTTTAATATAAAAGAAATAGTAAAAATAATAACAAGCTTTAGAGGTGTTATTAGACAGATTTTGTTTACCTAAGACCGAGACGGACTACCTGTTTTCCCCCTGCTCCAGTCTGTACAAGCTGAGCTAACTAGCTGCAAGCTTCACATTTAATGTACAGACATAAGAGCGGTATCAGTCTTTACATCTAACTCTAGGCAATTTGGCAATGACTTTTTATCCTCCAGGAGACACAGCTGTAATAATTGTCTCATGTAATGCCAATAGAATATTCTTCCTTCTTATTAGCTGCCTTATATTCTGCAATATGCAATGTAAGAGCTCTTTTTCTTGACCTATGCAGTCTCACGGGAGCAATGTGTTTGAAGTGCATCATGGATAAAGGCCACTGAGTCTGGGAGCAGATGAGTCAGGGGATTTTAAGTTGTCTGCATGTGTGTGAGAGGACCTACCCAAATAACTGTCTGGCTATTCTGCCTGTTTTCATGCGTGTGTGTTGTGGACTGTGCATGTTCTTATCTCTCAAGTATCTCCCTGTCCGTGTGCGTCTGTCTGCACACACTGCTTCCGTCAGTGAGCGCCTGCTGCCCGTGATGTGAAACAGCTTTTGTTCGGAGCATTAGGTTTAAGGGGGTAATTACTCTGTTCTCATCCTGTGAAAATACATCAAAGCAAAACCACTACGTCTAATTGTGGCTGACCTTCTCTGTGTAATAAAAGGAGTCCTCGCATCACGACATGGCTTTGGCAGGCGAAGAAAGTCACGCATGTAACATCTTATCTAGCGAGCATGTGTCCTCAGACAATCCCAAGTGGCTGAGTTCTTTCAACAAACATGATTCTGCTGATTTCCCATGTACATATCTGTTTAGGCCTGTTCTCAATAAACTGTATGAGGAATGTAAGGCATTTTCTTTACTCTTACTGCTGCAGGGAAATAGAGCTCCTCAAAACCACACGATTTACTAAACCCCCCCCCAAAACCCTGCAATTATATAGCCTGTTAGCATGAAGAGTGCCTTTGTCAGCTGAGTTGTTCTCTACAGCGCTTCAAAGGCAGCCAGTTTGGGGTAATTGTCTTTTTAGGGGCAGCAGAAGAATATATGTGGTTTTCAAAAAGAGATTTGATCCTATTGTATGTAGCAGAGGAGGGCCAATATGGAACCACAGAGTGTTCAATATCAAATAAAACAGAATTAAGTCCTATAAAACTCTGTTATTTTGAAAATAAGAATGATTTATAATTGCTTTATAATCATAATTATTTATTTATGTAAGCTTTAACCCTTTGGGGCTCCACAGGTCAGTGCTGGGTAGGAGGAATACTTACAGCAGGGCCGCTGGGTCCCCTCTCACCCTTTTCACACGCACATTTGCTCTTGGCCAGAGGACACTTCAAACACAGGGAAAGAAGAGTCAGGCGAGCCATCCGGGAACATGAATCAAGAAATGTGCGGAAAGACCGCAGTCTGGAGACTTACCCCTTCATCCGCCAGCGCCGTCTGTGGAGAGAGAAACACAAGAATGTTGTCACATTTACTCCATATGGTTCATATATACCCCACCAGCAGAAATGTACAGAAAGAGATCCAAGAAAACCAGCCTAATACAAAACCAGAGTTAAGCTTTTAATTCTGGTCTCAAAGTTACACTGTAGGATTAGACTGGAGCTGCAAACACCTGCTACCCAAACACCCAATTAAACCTGTTCACTGCTGGCCTGGGTTCAGTTTGTAAAATGTTCTTCACCCTTATCCACCTCATTCTGTGTGTAGACGTCCAGCACTTCCCTCTTGTAACACACACTTCTTACCTAAATGTTCACCCTACAGGTTTCTTTACTTTGAAAACATTCTTTTCACAAGAGACAATGGTCAGAACTCCAGTGAGACTAAACACAAACCACATGCATTGATCAGTAAAATAGCCTCTCTAAGCATCCAGGGGATATCTCCGTAGTAGGGAACAGACAGTCTGTCCGTTTTCAGACAAAGTGATGCAGTTGAATGCTGGGACTGAAGATAAAAGACTCAGCTGTGACAAAGACTTGCTTATGACATACAGATGCTGCCTGTACAGGGAAATGAGATGCTTGTGGACTGGCTGCTGCTGGGCTCTTGCATGCCAGCAGAATGCAGGCTGTCAGGTTCAATGCTGTTGGAGCCTCACTGCAGGATTTCTATAAAGGTTTTCCTTATCATATTTGGATGTGTACCACCTGTGTCAACAGTAAGCCTAGTTTGAAGTGGTACTTGAGGAGCTGGTTGAATGATGTAGCGTGCATGCATGTTCTTGCTGGGTTCCTGCTCTTACTGCGCCTAGTTTTCCCACAAAGAGTTTTAATGCAGAGCATATGTTACAGCCAACAGCCTGGTTGTGTCTGCAGGGTCTTTCTGTGCAGCACATGTTCTAATTATCTTAGTGGAAATTTATTGTCGGTTTATGAAAGTAACCCCAATCACCGAAGTCAAGATAAACATTTGGAAATAAAGAACTTTGCCATGACCAAAGGAGAATCACAGAGCTTCACATTTTTTCTGCCAACTGCTGATTTCAGAGTGAAACTCATTTTCGATGACTTAGGTGATGACAGCAGGCTTGTTACTATGGCAGCAGGCAGCAGGTGTACATCAGGGATGCAATATGCCAAGAGATCATAGCAGTGGGTGGTGTCAAAGACAGCACAGGGGAAGTGCTTATTGGGTTCATGGAGAAGTAAAAGACGCTGACATTTGATCCTTTTGGCAAAAGTCTGCATAATGACTTTTTGAAGCATCCACCTGTTATAAATCACCGGCCTCAAGCATCAAACATACATGCAATTTTACAAAAGGTAAGTGCCAAAGAAATGTAGGAATGTTTGAGCTTGAAAATGGATAATGTGCAAGTCTGATGAATGAAAATGTATTCACAGAGCTGACTTTGAGGAATTTACACATTTGTAAATGAAAAGGATCTCTGTGACACCTTTCTGAAAAAAGCTGATGAATAGGGAGGAATCTATTAAACTCCCACTTAAAGTGAGATTGTGTATCTTTTGTTACACAACAAAACATTGGCAGAAAAGTAAAAAGGTGGGTAACAGTAGCTCAAGTTGAGAGGAGTCATGAACTCAGCAGGCTGACTCAGTGTCCATCAAACAACGCTACGTATTTTCTAGTTTTCTGACTTAAGTCTCCGTAGCCTCCCGCTCATATCAGAGCATGCAAAGCTGTGTGGTAGCAAAACCTCAGAGTGCATTAAATTAAACAAAGGTGAATTTTATTGCTGGTAAATTTAACTTTTGCTCTGTTAGAGGAACAATGTGGTATTAAACGACAGTCATGCACATTAAAAACTAAAAAGCTGACTATGAATGGACAGAGTGATCTCACCGTGTATAATTCTACATTCAATCTGAAACAAATCAAAGTAAGATTATCTTTTACTCACAATCTCCTTGATGACTTTATCCACAATGCCTCTATCCTGCAGGTTGTGAAGGTAGCGTGAGGCTGGGGAGCTAGCAATTAGCCGCAGCTGAGCTTTATTGGTGGGCTCGTTGGCTTCAGGTGTGATGCCTATGGTGAAGAAGCGGACGCCCTGGTTCTTGGCATCAGCCACAGCTGAAAATATATCTGGGTTCCTGGGGTGTGAGATTCCGTCAAACAGCAGAACGGCAACCTTGATGCTGCTGGGAGTCGACTCCTCCAGGTAAATACGGGTAAGGTTGGTGATGGCGTAGGTGGTGTAAGTGCCATGGCCGATGTACACGATGGGAGCGATTCTGGCCTTAAAGTCGGCAGGGCTTCTCCACTGTTTGAAGGTCTGCTCTATGATGACATGGCTGCTGTACTGAAGGAGGGCTGCACGGGAGCTGAGCCCCTGACCGGTCTGCAGCCTGAGGCCCTGCAGCCGGTCCATCACGTCTGAGGCAAATCGCTTCTCCTGGGCATGGTTGTCCTTGGCGCTCTCTGAGCTGTCGATCAGAAAAGCCAACTCCAAACTGCAGTCTTCATCGATGAGTGCTGAGAACCAAGAAGAGTTAGTAAGAGTTGTAAAACCTGTCTCCCAGAAATTACACTGTTAGGTTTTCTGCAAAAATATCAGATGCAAATACAAATAAATTGCCACTGAGTCTGGGAGCAGATTCAGTGGTATTTATCCATAATGCACTTCAAAAATGTTGCTTCCGTGAGATTATATAGGTCAACAAAAAGAGCTCTTACATTGTGTATCACAGAACATAAGGCAGCTAAGAAGATTATTCTATTGGCCGTCATGAAACATGAAAGTAAACCATGGATTGAATGAAAAATAGCTGTTTAACATGTTTAAGTATCTCTTGCAGGATGGAAAATTACTGCCTAAAGGAATAGTTCGACATTTTGGGAAATACACTCATTTGCTTTCTTTCCAAGAGTGTGATGAAGGACTGATACCATTCAGTCATGTCTGTGTGCTATAAACAAGGGCAAACAGCTAGCCTATCTCTGTCCAAAGGTAGTAAAGTCTTCCCACCAGCACCTGTAAAGCTCACTAATTACCATTAGTTTGTTTGTAAAAAGGGAGTTATAAGTTCAGTTTCTTGGTTGGGAGCGATGATTCCTGGAGTCCTGTTACTACAGGAAGCGTATGAAATAAAGAAACAAGATATAATATGATTAGTGAGCCGTAAATGTATTGATTCATGGATTTTGTTACAATTGGATAAAGCCAGGATAACTATTCTATAACTAGTCTTTGTGCTAAGCTAAGCTAACTGTCTCCTGGCACTAGCTTCATATTTATCGAACTCTTGGCAAGGAAGCGAATAAGCACAATTCCTCTCACTCGGGTCATAATCCATACGAGCAAAGAGCACCAAGCAACTTTTTCTTAAGAGGAGCTTCTGCAATTACATTTTGGTATTTTATCATTAGACAGAAGCTGGCGATAGGTTTCATAACAAACCTCTGACTTAACAAATGACCAAGTTAACCGGATGTAATGTATTTTTCCTGTATTTTCTGTTGCCAAGTTGGCTGTCGAGACCTTTTTTCAATCATGATATATCACTTACTACTTTCATATCTAGCCCAATATAAAGACCCAACAGATCACAGACAAATTGATTTCATGAGTTTGGGAGGAATTTTTATCCGTGGAGCCTTCAGAAGGGGTAAAGGTGATTTATTGACTGTTTAGGCCCTATAGGCTGATGCCTTTTCAAGAGAAGTGTGATAAGTTCATGAATGTGACATATAATTTTGAAGAGGAAATAAAAGTAACTCAACTTGCTGCACCAACCTTCAGCAATGGAAGGAGGTCACAGATCTAATATAGGCTGAGGATAAATCACATTAATCTTCACAGAAATATGTCAGAGAGAGAATGTGCCCGGGGAAACAAGATTCTGAGCGAATAAAACATTTGGGTAACAGAGCACTGAACGGTCACACAGGAGACGAATGGCTCGGAGAAACCTAAGAGATATGATCAATCCAAGTGGATTGCATCCTCCAGCAATGTCCTTGCTGAGTATCATGTTCTAGTTTTTCACCTGTGGCAGCACCTTTTTTTTTTTTTTTCTGGTGATGAAAAAACGTGAAACATGTGCCACCTGCATTCCTCTCCACTTTTAAAAAAAGAGCATCGGTGGGGGGGGGGGAAAAGCCAACAAAGAGGCCTTGGAAAAAAAGTTAAAAAAGGAGACAACTTTAGATTTACCTTTGCCATTTTGTGGTATGGAATTGGATGGCAATTGTTTGCTCTTCCTCCTGGTGGTCACCACCTCTTCTTCATAGTCTTCTTCATAGTCCTGTGCCAAAAGACCTTGAAATCCCCACAGTAGCAGGAGCCAGTGCACTGACGGGACCATGACTTCCCTGAGAGATAAAGAGAAGACAGTGATGGACAAAAAAGACACGTCTTCACATTTTAATACCTTCCTGCACAAATCCTGCACACAGTCAGAGAACAAGCTTTAACAAGCATGAGTGTGTGACACTCAGGCATCAAGCATGCATAACTCACAATGTTGCTGACTTAGGTCTCCAATATGTTCAGCTCTGTAAAGCTCTCCTGGCAGAGAAGAAATTCAGAAAAAGTGCAAATAGGGAAAAGGAGAGATTCTTCATTCAGAGTTAGTCCATGTCCTGAGCATCTCAAATCCTCCTCTGTTGGATCTTTGTTCAGAGTCTGGGGGTCAAGTAGGCACCTTATAGTGACAGCAGCAGCAGTGCGTTGCCAAAGGTTTAGAGTGTATTGTGGGTCTCATGAGACTCCAATTCATGCCATTCTCAGCTCACAGTAAATGAAGGGAAGTCCAGCCCTTTTTTAAACTCACTCCCATTTTGGGGATAGTGTGGGAGGGGTGGCTGGGGAGACAGAACAATGAGTGCATTTCCCACTTTTTATTAGATAGTGTCATTTTTATGCTTTGTTAGCCATGCTATTTAAAACAGGAACAGAAAGCCCCTGGGAATAATAGCAATTTGTCCTTTTCCACCAAGACAGCTGGTTGAAATCCAACCAGAGCTTTATCATTTTTTTTCTCAATGTGTAATGTGGTAGTTAGCGTTAAGGTCGTGTCCCTGGTAATATTTCTGGAGAGTTAAGGGGTTTATAAGACATTTAACACATTTTTAAAGGCTGATTCAAATGTTTGACTGTTTTTATGCCAAAACTTAAAGCGCAATTATGCTATTTGGAAAAAAGAAATAACACAATCTTTCTCTTACAGAAATTTTTTTTTTATTTATAAGCAATAAAACACTTTAATTCAGTAGACTTAGGGGTTTTGACACTACAGTCTTACTTGGTCTGGTATAAACAGAAGCTTATGGTGGCTTATGTTGGCTAACTTTAAATAGATATTCCTGTTGATACTTGTGATACTATTACACTGTATTTTAGCATTTACCATTATACTGTAATTGTTGCTTGGGGCTACATTTGCACTGGTTAGTAAATGTTAAATAGTCTTGTCATAGTTATCTATTTACACATCCGGCACACAGCAATGTTAGCATTCATTTGGACTCTTTTTGGACCTGTTTGGTCTCAAATATCTTGCTCTTCAGCTACTAAATGCTCACTATGTTCATTAGCTAGTCGCTAACTTCTAGTCGTCAGGGGGAATCAGTGGTGCTGGGCAGGTAATGAAATCTGAAAAAGGCACTATGATAACTGTGTGAATGAATCAAAACAATAAAGTTGGGGGATGTAAAACCAAAACAACGAGCTAAAAGAAGCTATAAAGATTCATTAAGCCGAGGGGAGCTGCAGAATTACTACCAGCGACACCTTTCACCTTCATCATTTGATCCATTGTTATTATATAAATATCTATTCTAGCTACTTAAAAGTATATTTCTGCTCAAGAGAACCCCTCCTTAGAATAATCCATAAAGCTGGAAAAGTTTGGATAGGTGATTTATACCTTAAGGCAACACACCTTGCAAAAGCAGTGTACCATGACTCACCTGAAACACCTGGAGCAGTCATTTGTTAGTCTTTTTCTTGGCACGTTTTACTGTAAACATAGATTTCCAGAAGCCAGAAATAAGTACATTTGTATGAAGGGTAGGACCACTGTAACAATTCCTGCACATTGCTTATTCATTCATGTTGTTCAGATATAATCAAAATGGTTGAGATCTACCAAGATGCATTTCATATATATCCTGTACACCCAACATTCAAAACATCAGGTTCTGTACGTTAACACAGGAGGACGTTTCTTTTCTGGCAGAAATCTCTTCAAAGCCGGATGTGAAAGGCTATAACAGTGCACTTCTTCAGAATCAGTCCAGTTTTTATTGAAACCTGATGCGTGTCCTTTTCAGCACCAAAGAAAAATCTCATAACTCCTTAATCTTATTATAATTCCTATGTAGTCTTGGATCAGAGGAGTCTTAACATCCCATGAGACCGTCGGCAACCATATAAGCTGGAACTGGAATCATATAACTTTGCAACAGGGATGATGGTGTATGTTTTTACTGCCTACTGCATTACTGAAAGAAAGGAAAGGTGAGCTGTCACTCAAGAATGCTCCCTCTGAACGATGGACCTCCTTAAATCTGGTTCAGCTCCTTGTCCTTCGTGTGAAGAGCTGATTAAGCAAAGTGAGGATTTATGGGAATTATTTTAGTCGTTTTAATATTATGTCTGTTTGGATCAACTTTGCAGTGAGAAATAGGAAGCTGTCATTGCTGATGTGTGATACTGCTTTGGTTATTTCATCTAAATTAATCAAACTTTTATGGCTTAGACACTTTTTCTGGTGCACAATACACAATATATGGCAAAACTAGGACACAGCATAGCGCAAAATTTCAATATGAAATACCTTATCTGAATTGAAAACCACATAATTTCTAGGTTAGGTATTCTGAAATAGCAGCAATACCTGTTATTGCTTTTGTTCTCACTTTGCTTTTTTCTCGCAGCAGAAATGCTTAAATAAGTGTGCTTTAAGGCTTTCTCCTAGAAGACCCCACACAGCAATTACGTGACATTCATTCAACGAGAAGATGGTCTTATCTAAAAGAGCACAACGATGCAGACACCAATAAAGGGCATCAATAAAGAACAGGACATGGCATTTTTTATGTCATGCCACACAATTTAATTTAATGAGCAAATGGTTTCCTTCGGAAAGGTGTGTGGCATGAAGAGAGGAGGGAAAACAAAACAAGAGTGAGGCTTTCTTTTATAACACTGCGGAAGCCACCGCTTAGCTCTTTGATATTCTCTAACCCCTCCAGGTATCTTTCCTGTGACATTTGGTTTAATCACGGTTTTTACAAGATAATGCATGTTCCTTCAACATACAGTTACAGCACCGCAGAGAACGCCACTGACATCAGTGGTGTTGATGGTTAATGGGTGAACGGAAAATCATAAGACTGGAAGATAACTCGGAGCGACGAAGAAGATATGTATGTCCCAACAAGTTTTCATACCAGTCTGATCTAAATGGGGGCTGACAGCTGCACCTCAGACTGAAAAAACTGAAAATAATCCTTATTGTGTAACTGTCATGGCATATCAGAAGAGTGTGTTACTGGTTACTGAGCCACAAACATTCAGCTAGAGTTGTTAAATCCCAGATAAAATGCATAAATGACTTTAAAACAGGTTTTGTTTGGAGCTGTGCTTTGAGATAACTTTTGAGGTCGTGCTAACAGACTGATAGTGACAACATTAACACGCCGGTGTTTAGCAGATGTTATGTTTATCATGTCCAGTTTAGTGTCTTAGCATGACAACTTTTGCTAATTGGCTGTAGACATTGAGTACAGCAGCAGTGTTTGCAAGTATTTGGTCATGTTGGTATTTGCACAGATTAAAAAAAATCAATGGATCATCAAAGTTATACATGTCAATCCTGAGGGCATCATGAATGCAGGTATCAGATTTCACGGTAATCTCTCCAACAGGTTGACAATGGTCTTTGGCTGTGTCTGACATCGCTATGTATTCACTATATATCTGAGAGTCTTTTGAGTGTTAATTTCGTGCTCTTATGATTTGTAAGTGCCCTGTAACACATTATGTAAAAAGACTGCATCATGTTTTTCACTTCATTATGTAAAACACCTGCATTTTGTAATAATCTGTCGCATTTAATAATGTGTAACACATTTCCACACAGCTTGTAATAAATTATCACATAATGTGGTGGCTAATGTGGGAGTTGCACTTTTTTATGAACTGCATATTGAACAAGCTGAAGCTTTTTGGGGAACCCTATCCAACATCATTTAAACCACATTATGTAACAGAATGTGGTGGCTAATGTGTTACGCATTGCATTCATGCTGTTTATTACAAAATGTGGCAGATGTTTACAAAATGTGGATGCTGATACATAATGAAGAGAAAAAGTATTACATTATGTCGAGTTATTATCACCAAAACCACTACATACTCTCGAGACCATGAATGTCTGCACAGCCTTTCATGACAATGTATCCAATAACTGAGGAGATATTTCAGTCTGGACCAAAGACCGATGTTGCTACATTGCCTGGAGCTATGCCGCTAGCAAGGCTAAACAGACCAGAAAAAAACAGAAAAGCCTTCACAAACACTACTGCACCTGTGTGGGATTATAAACTACTATCTGTTTCAGCTGACCACCATGAGCTCTGCATTCTCATAACCTCTGAGGTCTTTGATGAAAAATCTTGAAAGAAAGTACGGCATGGAACATGTCTGCGGGAGGTCAAAGGTCTCCTGCTGTCAAACTGTCCCAAGTACGAACCTGACTATACACAGCTGCAGCATTTTGTTTGGAATGGGAAACATTTGTAAGGGTTTGAATAAAGGTTATTGTTCCACAGCCCACACCATAACGTAGTTCATCAAACTTTTCTAATGATAGCAGAGGCAGGCCTGTTTAAAATGGTAACCACACTGGCATGTGCTGCATTGGATCCTGCTCAGGAACATGTCCATTCTTGCATCACCTGGCCTCTCCCACTGTTGTGAACTCATTCAACCTGATCACTGTAGCTACAGTAACTGCAACACAAGCTCAATCTTTCTAAACACAGAGGAATAATACATGGAAATCCTTTTTGGGAAACACTGCCAAGTGATCTCAACATTGCTCCTTTTACTATATGGCAACTTTCATCACAAGATATTGTGACATTAAGTGACATTTAGAGATGATCTGCGTCGACTCCTGTATGTACTTGTAATAATCCAACAACAAAAACTACATAATCATGGAAACACAAAGTATTCTCAGTCATCACTCATCAGATGTTACTTTGGGGCATGCACAGGATGCTTAATTCAGATACTGGTATGTGCTGTGTTTTCACAGACAAATACAGACTAGTAGAAATGTATCTATGCCTGCAGAGAGTCAGATAGTTATCAGTGGGTTGGAGGAGTCATGCAATCAGTCACTGCATTATCAAATACATTAACAATTATGTTTTTAAATGAGGGCTGTATCTGATTTGTTCAAAACATTGACTGAACATACCTCTGACTCTGCTTTATGTGGGGTGTTTGCAGTAGATAATGAGCGGTGAACATTTTAAGTCCTAATCTTTAAACATTAATTAGTAAACAGATATCTTAATATCTGACACTGTGATGTAATTTTGGAGTTTATATGAGTTTAGGAGAAAACACATTTTTGAGACTATTGCATACAATCCAAATTCTTCTTTAATTTATTTTTTTTTCTTGATATCTTGTATTTCTTCTATTTTATTTTGTTATTTAATGTGTATTCCTTTTTTGTATATCATCTGCTTTGTTGCACATCTGGAGCTGCTGTAACAAGTGAATTTTCCCCAGTGTGGGATCAATAAAGTCTATCATGTCTTATCTTATCTCAGAATATTGTGCTGATAAAAAACTAATTATATGAAACTCGTACTCATAGACAACAGACACTTCTATCAAATAGCATTGTTTGTTCAAACTGAGGCTGAGACAAATGGATGATTTAAACCTTATAAAATGAATAACACACACTCTCTTGTTCATACACTTGCTAAAAACAGTCCTCTACACAGTCTCTTTTGGTACAACAGCACCCTCTAGTGTAAATATGGTGGATGCACTGCTCTAGGCTTACACTGCACACACACCTTCCTAACTATAATGTAGAGTATGTATCACTTATTAATTTGAATAGTGTACTGGATATTTTAGTTAGGATATAAGAAATCAATTAATGTTATTGTAATGTTTTGTACTATAATTGTACATTTTGACTAATAACTAACACTTTCTCTGTCCCTTGATGTTGTTATATGTTGTTGTTGTTGTAATGTTATTAATTACATCAAGCTTTTCCTGGTTTGACATGTGTGTGTCAAAATGTCTGCCCTGAAAAAGATTAACTCGAGTGTCTCCATTTTACTTTACATTTCAGGAGCAAATATTGTATGTTTTGTACGTTATTGTATTGTTCTCCACTACATTTATGACAGCTACAGTTACTTTTCAAATAAAAATGTTATGTACAAAACATATAATCAGCTTGTAAAATATATTTTTTAAATATAATTGTTCTAAACTGAACTATACAATAGTTTATAGAGTAGATAAACTGGCTCAAGATTGACCCACTACAATATTAAAATGCTGTTCACACATTAATAATACTCCAGTAATATAATAATCTGAAAGGCTGAAAATACTTCTATATTTCTTAGGTGAAATTGAATTGAAGGCATGACTTTTACATATAACTGAGTATTTTTAAAATATGATATTACTACTTTTAATTTAAGAATCTGAATAAATACTTCCACCATCGTACCACCATACTGTCAACATACTCTTACTGTTATAAATCAAAGTAGGAATTAAAGTATAGAGGTAGATTATAACACATTTAAGTTGAACTGCCCTTATATGATGTTATGTAATTTTATATATTGCATTGTTTGATTAGTATCATTGATGCTTTAGCCCCATATTAATGTTGTAGCTGGTCGAGGTGGAGTTCATTTTAACTACCTTTTAAAACTGCTGAATAATTACAATTTTAAGAATGCATCGTATTTTATACAGTGTTTATATGTTTGTCAAATCTTAATCTTCAAAGTAACTACAACTGTTTTAAGATTATATGTTTTGTATAGAACATTTTTATCTGCAGCTGTAGGGTAGAATAAAAAGTACACATATTTCTACTGAAGTTTACATGATCATTACTTAAAAGTACTGTCCACCACTGCCACCAGCCTGGCTGTGTAGTCAGCGCAGGTCCACTGTTTTAAGTCTAAACCACTGACACTGTGAGGTCAACCGAGACCCTTGAGGTAAAACATAGCGATGTCTTATGATTCAGTTCAAGCTCTGTAAACACAGACAGAGTCCTCGACTTTTCAGTCTGAACGTGCAATGAACAACTTGGGGACATGTTTGCATTTTCTCTGGGGAATGAGGGTTCTGTTAGTGACCTAAACCAAATAAGGACTCCAGACATGAACAACAAATGTCAGCAGCCGAAAACGTACTCCCCTTAATATGGGACATTGTGTACAAATGGTACAGTAGAACAAATAGAAGGCCTAAACCATGTGTTCACATGTATATCTATATTAATTGGGTCTGACTGATTGACTGGCTGCTTTAAATGTTAATCCATAATACATATAACCCTTTGTTTGGACTGGTTGACTGTCAAGTAGGCCAGCTCTGCTCTGGAGGGCAGAATGTCAGCTGGACGCGCTTAACGTCTACGCATGCTCAGTGTGGCCTTTTTACGTTACGCGCAGGCGCAGTTCGCATCAGCGGTCATTCATTATAAAGCCGCAAGTTCCTCCGTCTCTTTCCACCTTCAGCCATTTTGACAATGTTGGGAGCTGTGGGACGCTGCTGCACCGGGGCTCTGCAGGCTCTTAAGCCTGGGGTCCAGCCCCTGAAGGCTCTCGTTGGATCCCCAGCCGTCCTTTCACGTAAGTCCCGCACACTCGGTGGTTTTGACCGAAAGCGTACGAAGAAGAAAGGACTTAATCCACGCGGCTGTCATGAGAAGGGCAGGGGCTATGCTAACGCTAGCTAGCAACACGCTGGCTGCTCTGCCGGCGGCACAGCAGGCCTTAACATTAAAATGTAAAATATGAAGACTGATGAAGCGATTTCACGATGTTTTAAGTGATCACATGTGCGTGTTTGTCGCTACTGACAGGTGCCACGCCTCAGATAATGAGCAGGCTGTGTTTTTGTTGAGCTAACAGTAATGACCTTTGTGTAATGACATGAGGACTGTGGTAGCGGTACTGGGTGAGTTTAGCGGAGCCTGGCTAACACATGAGCAAGGTTAGAGAGTCATCTGCAGTGTTTACCCACTGACACATTGAACTCGGATCGCAACATATAAAGCATGAAGATTATGATGCATTAGAAACGTATTTGCCTTTTGAATGTCCTGCACTTCATTCATATGTGGAGTCTCTCCACGTTAACGTTATTTAGGAGGGGAAATGGCTTGTTTATAGTTTGTACTAATCATAATCTACTTGTGTTTCACACAGCTGCGCGCATTGCTTTTGTTAAACTGCGTCAGTCGGTCATTTTAGTGGTTTTTAAAGCCAATTCGCAGTTTAGCCGACAGCTGTAAGTTGACATTGAGACTCAGAGACCAGACAGTTGTCTGCCTGCTGTATCCGGTGCTTTTCAGCCGACATGCACATATATATCTGAGATAAATGGATACCACCTGCATAACAAGGTCATGAGTGAAGTACGCATGTATGGCACTGGTCTAAATGCGCACACTGTCTGCACTACTTTACAGGCAGGGACTATGTCGCACCTGCCGCCGCTGCCGCCGTCGCCACCGGGCGCATTGTGGCTGTCATCGGTGCCGTCGTCGACGTCCAGTTCGATGAGGGCCTTCCTCCCATCCTCAACGCCCTGGAGGTCGCCGGCCGTGAGTCCAGGCTAGTCCTGGAGGTTGCACAGCATCTTGGTGAGCAACTTTTTAGATAACCTTCAGCAGTCCTGTACCCATATGAGCAGACAGGAAACATTTAAACAGTAGCCAATACATTTAAATGTTTTTATGATGCTTTTAGGGGAGAGCACAGTGCGTACCATTGCTATGGACGGTACTGAAGGTCTGGTCCGTGGACAGAAAGTTCTGGACACCGGTGCCCCCATCAGAATCCCAGTGGGTCCCGAGACTCTGGGCAGGATTATGAATGTCATCGGCGAGCCCATCGACGAGAGGGGTCCCATCTCCACCAAGCAGTGAGTTCACTTTGAAAATAAATCAGTTATTACGTTTATATAAATAAACAATAAGCAAAATAAGTCTTATAGACTGACGGTGCTAAAGTAAAATTGCAGGAGGCAGTGAGAATAAGGTGTTAAGCAGTTAGACATATTTAACTTTAACCGTCTATTTGAGTTTTACTTTCTAATAAGTACTTTGTGTTTTTTCACTCCACAGGACTGCACCCATCCACGCTGAGGCCCCTGAATTCACTGACATGAGTGTGGAGCAGGAGATTCTGGTGACTGGTATTAAAGTGGTAGACCTGCTGGCCCCCTACGCCAAGGGAGGAAAGATCGGTACGTGTTAACACGTTAATGTTTGCTCACGACTGGAGTTCTACGGCCAGGATTGGTGATTTGATACTGGAATCTTTTAAAGCCGTTTGGTAGAACTAATCCTCTGCATCTCATGGTCGCAGGTCTGTTCGGTGGTGCCGGTGTGGGCAAGACTGTGTTGATCATGGAGCTGATCAACAATGTGGCCAAGGCCCATGGTGGTTACTCTGTGTTTGCCGGTGTGGGAGAGCGTACCCGTGAGGGAAACGACTTGTACCATGAAATGATTGAGTCCGGTGTCATCAACCTGAAGGACACCACCTCCAAGGTAAAGGGGTTTTCTTTTCTAGCCTCCACAAGACACAGAAACTGGCATGTTTACTATGGCACAGAATCAGACATCAACCACTCACCTCAACTCTCGTCTCTGCTAGGTGGCGCTGGTGTACGGACAGATGAACGAGCCCCCCGGTGCCCGCGCCAGAGTGGCTCTGACCGGACTGACCGTAGCAGAGTACTTCCGTGACCAGGAGGGTCAGGATGTGCTGCTCTTCATCGACAACATCTTCCGCTTCACACAGGCTGGCTCTGAGGTCTGTAACACAAGTTTATAAAAGCAGTTAATGGGGGTTCAAATGAGGTTGTTGGGTTATAATTTTTTAATTAACTTAAATGTTGACTGGCAGGCGTGATGCTGACTGAAGTCCTCTCTTCTCAGGTGTCTGCCCTTCTGGGTCGTATCCCCTCTGCTGTGGGTTACCAGCCCACTCTGGCCACTGACATGGGTACCATGCAGGAGAGAATCACCACCACCAAGAAGGGTTCAATCACATCTGTGCAGGTAAACATGGAGCTACATTGATCCAGTGCATGGCCGTCCTGTTTGTTTAAACCTTTTTAAATAAGTAGAATAAGTGCTGGTAGATGTTTCATGGTGTAGGTTTTGGGAAACTGTTAGAACAAAGATTAACCAGGTCTCAACTCTCTCTCCAGGCTATCTATGTGCCCGCTGACGATTTGACTGACCCTGCCCCTGCCACCACCTTCGCTCACTTGGACGCCACCACTGTGTTGTCCCGTGCCATCGCTGAGCTGGGTATCTACCCCGCTGTCGACCCCCTGGACTCCACCTCCCGTATCATGGACCCCAACATTGTCGGAGCTGAGCACTACGATGTCGCCCGTGGTGTGCAGAAAATCCTCCAGGTTTGGGACTTTACTTTTTGAATGCTCTACTTTAGATTTGACCAACAGAACATTTATCAGGTTAACCAGTTTTACTTTCCTTCTGTAGGACTACAAATCCCTGCAGGATATTATTGCTATTCTGGGTATGGATGAGTTGTCTGAGGAGGACAAACTGACTGTGGCCCGTGCCCGCAAGATCCAGCGTTTCCTGTCCCAGCCCTTCCAGGTGGCCGAGGTCTTCACTGGCCATATGGGCAAGCTTGTGCCCCTCAAGGAGACCATCAAGGGCTTCAAGAGCATCCTTGCTGGTAAGTGTATTAGAGTTCAGTGATGTGACTTGTTTAAATAGTTAAATTGCCCCTCTTGTAGTCCTAACGTTGCCCTTTGAACCTGTTTCCTCGTAGGTGAGTACGATCCTCTGCCCGAGCAGGCTTTCTACATGGTCGGCCCCATCGAAGAAGTCGTTCAGAAGGCTGAGAAGCTGGCTGAGGAGCACTCATAAACATCCAAACAATCTAAACTGTTTTGGGGAGAGAAACGGAAAGAGAAGGGGGGTCCTGTGGTTAGGAGCACTTGGTTTGTAAAACATGTCAAAATACAAATGTACCTGTCTTGTCATCTTAAAAGAAAGTTCTATTTAATGTTTCCAATGGAAGATGGAATAAAACACTGTCTTTACACAAAACAGCTTGTCAACTGTATATTTCCTAATAGGCTTTAATAGTTGTAGCTGAGAATCTTGTTCCTAATGAGGCATTTCATGAAATGGCTGTCCTTATCCACTCTGACCACAAGATGGCAGTCTTGAGCCATGTTACGCTTTCTGAACTGTGTTGCAGCTTGTCTCGTACTGAAATAAAACGGTGGACAAAGAACTGGACGAGTGTTTGTTTCAGAAACATTTAAACTTGTATGTACCAAAACATTCACCACTGTCATGGCTTAAGTTTAAAAATGTTTCCAATATTTTAAAAACTATTTGCTGAACAGCAATGATTTTTATTTTATTAACAAGTTGATGTGATCGTCGAAGAATTTGAGGAATAAGAAAATGAGAATAAATGTTACGCAGGACTTCTGCAGATTATGATTGGAAACCAGTAAGGACAATAAGGTTAACAATGAATTACTATCTTCAGCAATATATAATTCCTATTGATATAATCAATTAAATTGGACCTACATAAGCAGCAGAAACTCAATAGATGAACCAAAGAGTGTTTTAGCTACACAATGTCCCATTTATGAAATGAGTTTGAGTGTTTGCTACAGGTTTGATGGTGCTCACTGAAACTCTACAAAAACAATTGATCAGCCTCTTGCAGCACTGTCCAGTCACAACAATCCCACTTCATAGGTGTGTTACAATTATTGAAAGCATTCAATCCCATACAAAAACATTACTGCCTACAACAGGAGAGAGCAAATCTTGCAGACTTTAGTCAATTTAATTTTACACTCTTTACTTTCCCCCTTTTTACAGTAATTTGAGGAAAGTGCTTTTGACCTTTCAAGACTGGCAGATAACTTGTTAAACATCTTAAGCCATGAAATATCAATGACATACACAACTTTGTAGAAGGTGCACGAGTAGATATTACCTTACTGTTCACGTTCAAATGTTAACCACCATTTAAGACGTCATTACAGTCCTTTATATTATTGTGCATTTTCAAGGTGGATTTCCAGAAAGTGAACAACAGAAACAAACGTAGCCCTGCAGGCCGCATTTTTATTGCTCTTTAACCTTTCACACATGCCTATCATCAAGGCCGTTAGTCTGAATAAAGCACTATCTAGATAAGGTGGCCTTGAAAATTCCCACATTATAACGGCCTGTGACAAAAGCACTTCTATAGAAAATATTCAGAGAAGGGATACAGACAAAGTATTTCTTTAAACTGTAGTATTTATTGTTTGCTACACAAAGCCTGTCAGTTGTTTAAAACATGCATAAGATGTGCATTCATGGATACAAATTTATTGGTTCTGCTTGGCTATAGGAATGGCTTCTTTGCTTATAATGTAATCAGTCACACACGTCGGCATATAGGACAGTGGCAGCCAGAAAAACTTGGCGTCCCAGCCTGGGGAGTAGCGGGTTCGGGGCCGGACAGCGGATACAGCGTGCTCCATACAGCTGACCACCTTCATCAGGTCTCCATCACTGATCTTTGCAACTTTGTCTGACAACACCGCCAACGCTAGGAGGGAAAATTAGTGGAATAAATAAATGCGGGAAATTAAAAACAGACGTCTTAATGAAGAAAAAAAAAGATTATCCAAACTTACACTTCTGTAGAAATTCATTTCCATAGTCGTCTCTGACCTCCTGGGGCATTCTCTCCCAAACCATATTGACATTCTTGGTCAGGATACCAACATCAGTCACGTTTGTTTTGAAGAAGCCTGGCTCGATGCAGAGGACTTTGACTCCGAAAGGTGCCATATTTAACCTAAGAGAAACATTTAATTTGATCAGTGCTTTCGTGCAGACCATGAAATCTTTGACACACTAAGAAGTAACTGATTGTGTGAGTTAATGTTTCACCTGAGGCTATCATTGAAGGCCTCCACGCCGTACTTGGAGATAGTGTACGGGCCCCCTGTAACACTGATCCTCCCAAACACACTGGCTACATTCACCACTCTCCCCCTGGCCTTCTTAATTAGCGGCAGGACGCTCAGGGTCACCGCGATCACTCCATTCAGGTTCACGTCCAGCATGGACTTGTAGTCATCTATGGTCAGCCAATCACACGGGGCGGAGGGAACGGACACGCCTGCATTGTTCACCACAGCCCATAAGCCTAGGAGGATTACACAGAGGACAGCCACTCAATTAAATGAAACCAAATTTTACCCTGTCAAGTTCCTTCAACGAGCAGAGTCTTGAAGTTTGAGCCCACTGCTGCTGGAGAGGAAATTCAAAACATGTCAATACATGCAAAATAAATTTCCGATGTGTGTAATAAGTTGGGTGTTGGCAGGCTTCAGTCTGTGTCTGTGCTGGTTAGATCCTTTGTTTCTCATTGATCTATATTAAAACCGCACAAACGGTACACGTAGTTATTGAGCCAGAAGTATAATGGCTAGTTATGTATCATGTGGTGCTGTTTAACTCCTACTGCAAGAAAACCAGTTGATCTGATTTTTGTTTGTTTGGCTGTTTTTAAATGTGGCCCATACCAGACCAGGTAGGAGGTCACACTGCAAAATCAGACCTGTATCTGATTTGGACCACATATAAAAGTGGCCACACTGTCATGAAAAAAACACTTATGAGTGTCACATGTGCGATTTAAATGTGGGCCATTTTGCCTGCAGTGTGAACATAGCATTAGTTAAATACTAACATCAGCATGCTAACACGCTCATAATGACAACCCTGATATGCAGGAGCTAAGCAGGTTTACTGACTGTGACCATGCTCTTATTTTAGTGTCAGATTTCTAACATTTGCCAACGACACAAAGTATTGGACACAATTTTGTCCTGATTATGGTACTAGATGAAGAGTTAGGATCACGGAAGTAATAACAATTCATCTTAAGGAGAACATGAATGTCTGGACCAATTTTAAATTCTATGAATCTAATAGTTGTTGAGGCATTTCACTTAAAAACACAAATGTCAGCCTTATAGCAGAACTAGAGAAAAAGTCAATGAAGTCAAGGATGAACAAAATCTGATGCTAATCAGTCCAATAGTTGTAGAGATACTTCAGTCTGTACCAACAAAATAAACAGAACACTCACCGCGCTCCCCCACTTTGTCCTTGATCATCGCTGCAACCTTGGCAACGCTGTCCTTAGACCGAACATCAAGGTATGTTGTGATCAGGTTGCTGGAGCAGGACTTCTTCAGATCCTCTTCTCCCTTCTCGGTGAAACAAGAGGCGATCACCCTGAACCCCTGCTTGTCCAGATGGCGGGCCAGGAGGTTGCCAAAGCCAGAGTCGCAGCCTGTGATGTACACATACTTGCTGCCCTTGTCGGGGACCCTGGGTAGCTCCCTGACCCAGCGGTAAAGGTAGTAGAACACCACCAGCCCCAGGAGGTACAAGTACATGGCTGTACGTACAAAGAGGGAAAACTGTTACTTTTTACTCAACACTGAGCCACACTGACGTGAGTAACCCGGTGTGTGCAATGTGAAGACACACACACACATACTGATGGTCTCATGGGAGTTGTTTGAGCGAGCTCACTGCAGCTACACTTCATTTATTTCCTTTTAAGAGGAAATACTATACGTCTTCCTTCTTACTTCTGTTGTTATTCTGCACTTTCTATTCTCCATTCAACATTTGTGGGCGGCTGTGGCTCAAAGGCAGAGCGGGTCGTTCCTTAAACGGAAGGTTGTGGAAGGTTCGATCCCCGGCTCCTGGTGCCACATGTCGAAGTATCCTTGAGCAAGATACTGAACCCCAAATTGCTCCCGATGCCGTGCATTGGTGTGTGAATGTGTATGAATGAGATAGTTTCTGTTGGATGGACTTTGGACTTTGCCATCACTGAGTGAATGTGTGTGAAAGGGTGAATGTGGCACGTAGTGTAAAAGCGCTTTGAGTGGTCGGAAGACGAGAAAGGCGCTATACAAGTACAGGTCCATTTAACATCTACTACTACTACATTAATGTATTAATATTAACAATCCAGTAATATCAAATAATACTATAACAATAAAAGGGGGTGTTTCACTTCAATAAGTGGTGGCAAAAGTGTTCGGATCCTTTGCTTAAACCAACAACAAGAGGTTTTAATCGGTTATGAAATTAATTTAATACAGACGCGATCGTAGAAACACTACCGCTTTTGTCCACAGGGGTCGCCACAATCAACAAGTTCCTTGTAGCGGCTTTCAGTAAAAGTATTATTATAAGAGTTATCTTTACTGTATTAGCAATGTGGACTGAGATGGAAACAAATTCTCCATGGCAGTGTAATCATAGTAAGAGTATTATCAGTATCAAAAGAAGCAACATTATTAAGTATATTTATGCAGGTAGTGTACTTAAGGGCATATTTGGAGTACTTGTACTTTACTTGATTATTTTCTTCTCATGCCACTTTATGCTTCTACTCCACTACAATTATTTGACAGCTTTTAGATACAACCTACTTTACTAATTAAGATTCTTGCATACAAAACATATAAAAAAATTTACAGCTGAAACAATTAGTCGATTAATCGATTGACAAAAAATTAATAAATATCATTTCTCATGCAAAAACATTTCAAAGGTTCCAGGTTAATAAATGTGAGGATTTGCTGCTTTTCCTTGGAATATTTCAATTACTGTTATTATCTTAATTCATATGTATTTTTTTCTGAGGTTTGGACTGGTGGTTGAATAAAACAAACACTGTGTCACTTCAGGCTCTGAGTAATTATAACTGTATTTCTCAGTATTGTCCTAATTTCTACAAACTAAATAATCATTTGTTGCAGCCCTATAAAACACTTAGATTTCAACCAGCTACAACAGTAAAATTCTACTTTTACATTAATGCAAGAGTAATAATCTACAGATATAATATATAATAGCACAACAATAACATTTACTGCATGAATACTTTTAATACTTTAAGTACATTTCCCTGATTATACTTACATACTTGTACATCAGTAACACTTTAAATGCATGACTTTAACTTGTAACAGTTTTATTTTACAGTGCACAGTTAGTTACATATATAAACAACTATAGTGGAGGAAGAAACCTGTCTAACGACTTTAAAAAGACATTTTAATGTCAATACGTGGTGAACCCTCTGGCTCTGATAACGTTGATGCCACATTGCACAACCAGACTGATAACAAACAGGCATGTTATTGAGAGCTATACTGACTTTAAAGTTCACTAACCCGAAGTTTCTTTACCCGATTAACAGATTTAAATCTTGCAATCCTCCATACACCTCTGATGGAGTGGCCTACAAGAGCTTAAATACCAAACAAACAACTGTTCTCCTGTCGCTCCTAGCTGTAATAATAGCTGTAACACAAGCTATAATGCCTTATGTTAATGAAGAAACCCCTAATAAAACAAACGTATACAACATCCCTTTAAAGGTTTCTCTCTAACTGTGTGAATAAGACAGGAGATGTAGGACCCAACCTGCAGTGCAGAGCTCTTCCTGGACGGTCTCAGCCGGTTATCACACACTTTCTATAGCAGTCGATGAGTGTAAAGTTCTCCGTGAAACAGGACACACTCCCACCAATAGAAGAGTAGCAGCAACATATAAATATATGGTCATATGATCTCCACAACGAGGCAACAGGCGCCACCTGCCGGCCGCAGCACGAATAGCTGCATGCTTAATTAAAACAGTCTCTCTCTCCTGGACTGATTCATATATTTATTATTGTACTATATATATATGCTGTACATTACGTTATACTATATTACTACTATATCATATAGACTAGAGGTACAACACAGTACAACTATTTTATATTCAATAAAGGTCTCCCATATAAGAAATTGATTGTTGTATAAAAATAATTCACTGATACAGCTGAACTCATATTAATTTCATAATGCAAACTCTGATTAATTCTAGATTTGGTGTGAAAGTGGACAAGATGTTCCTCTACGTGTCTGAAAAAACAGATAATATCTTGATGCATAGAGAAAATACAGTATTAATACTAATACTACTACTAATATAAAATACAGTATTAATACTAAAACTACTACTAATATAAAACACATTGTTGTGCTTGGTTCTACCTCCAGTAGGGGTATCTTAAAAGTTAAAGCCCTTATGGGGTCCTTCCCTCTAGCCTTCATAGGCCTGTACTATTATGTTAATATGCTATACTGCTAATTAGATTATACTATATTATATTCTGTGGTAAAAATGTGCATGAACAAAGTCTTAATGTCGTTGAAAGTTTTCCTTTGCAACTTCAGAGGACCATGACGGGCAAAATGTAAGCCTCACTCGTTACAAAGTGACATTTAAATGACATTTGTGACTTTCTTACTTTGTAAAACTTGACATTTAGCATTTAATGGCCTCACCTTGGAATGAAACGTCCCTTGATAATTAAATTTAAATCTGAATTCCTCCATTTTTAGCCACTAGGGAGCAGAAGAACTCCAAAACAAGCTAAAGCAGCCACCTGACACACAGTACCACCTTATGAAGTTGTAGCTAACGAGGTGTGAGCTCCTACACGTCCAGCAACTACAGAGCAACGTTATGGTCGAACTGGAGTTGTGTTTCTGGCCATTTAATGAGTTTAAGTCCGATATTCACTGACCTTCTAGCTTCAGGTTCGTCTCTCCACCCAGTATTGGTTGTGGTCTGTGTGTAGAGCCCTCTAGTGCTCTGGTGCTTCAGCAGAAATAGTAAACACAGGTGTTAGGTATGATACTAATTAAGGTTCTGTTCCATTCAGGTCAATCAGAGTCAGGGTGCTGCTATTGTACATGGTTACACTCACTGGAAAGGCTCTGGTACACTAAATGGAACAGAGCCTTACTTACAGGGGCGGAGCTAAAGAAATAATCATTTTTTATGGGTGGCAGAAATACACGCTGATTTAATGCAATCACATGTATCAATATTTGCTTGGAAAAGCCCCCCAAATGAAGATATTTTAACTCAAACACATTATTGTGGCACATAAGTAAAGCATTGAATAGAAATATCTAAAGTTGACATTTGAAATCAATAAATTATTTCTAAATATCCAAATCTAAAGTCTAAAATGCGGCCATGACAGATCATTAAATTATATATTGTGTTATTTTTTCTGTTTTTTTTTAAAAAAAACAATCTGTTAAAAATTAATTAAAATTAGTGTTGAATTTCACTGCATTTGACACCAAAGCCTATTTCATAATTTCATGTCAAAATGGCTGCTGTGAAAAAGGTCTGTGGCACCGAGAGGACAAGTTGCTTCCTATTTCCTCTCGTTATCTCAGTGAGCCTGCTGATCTAATCAGATTTACGAGGGATAAATACTGTTAAATTCCTCCTTTTCTGGTTGGTGATTGTTGTGTTTCCTGTTATGTTAAATATAAAATGTTGCAGTTTTGTTCTTTATTTTGTGAAATTGACTCTTTTCTGTTAATTTAATGCTGCTGTACTTTGTATAAAAGTAGACTAAAGAGAGACTGAGAATCTGTAACATGGGTAATGTGCCCTCTAACAGACACAGATTTATATACACTGAAACAACTTATATGAAGTCTTGTGGTTGTGTGTATCTCTGCCATTATTAAGGCCTCTGATATCAGACCCACCAACCCTCCGCTCTGTAAATTACTCCATCTGCTTCCTTTCTGTGATTTTGCACATAATTAAACATCCTGCCTCTGTTCAACAACAGGATGTTAAACTATCTAAACAATACCCACAGAGGGGATATATTCCCTTATATATGAGTATGTGCTTTCTGTCTACTAATGAAGGTTATAGTTAATGTTTATTGGTACGAGTGACATAACACCATAAATACAGATATTTCTTTATCACCTTATCACTGAGTGTCAAGGGTCATTTGAATTTTAAATTTCTACCACAAGGTGGCAGCAGTGTTGTTTGGGAATTCATTTCCTGTTGTCCAGGCGATGCCTTCAAGCACTTCTTGAAAAATACTCTTAATATACAACATACTTCACACAGTGCTGCTAAACAAAATAAAGTAACCAAATAGGCCTACATGCAATTTACAGTTGGTTGTTAATGCTTTCTGACCCTTTGAACCCCCCTGACCTTACTCAGGGAACATAGAAAATTGCGACATTTATTTCACACTATTTTTGGACTGTTTGTGTGGACTTCATAGTTTCAGTATTGCTGACTGCACTGGAGGCAGCACAGTTCACTTTAAGTTCAATTTGCATGACATTCACAGTAATATAAGTAATAAACTTTATTTATATGGCTCTTTCTAAAACACAGTTGCAGTGTGCTTTCACAATAAGACAAACTGAAACAATAATAATAAAGAATCACTAAAAAGATGTTTAAAAAGGTATGTTTCTAATAATATTACAGTTGCCCTGTCTCCAACCTGAATAAACAGATTCCTCCTGGACTTTCTAGGTGATGGATAAGATGAGAGTTCTACGTGAATCACCTTTACCAGTAATTAAGTTGACATATTATCATGTCTTCTTCCTCCGAAACCTTGCGTGTAATTTTCACAATCTTTGTATTTGTAGTTTCCTGACGGCATTTGAAGGCAGCAGTGAGTGACCGACAGCACACGACCACCAGTGAGCAATCGGTTGTTTTCATGTGTGAGAGTGGAAGCCCGATCAGTCAGTTTTATGACCATATAAATCACAAGTAGTATATTCTCATACATAATGGAAGGGTTGGATTTAGAGATGAAAATTAAGTTTTTGTGTGAGTCTCAAATGATTAAAAACTAAAATATGGGCCTGTTGTACTCCATTTTTTAAAAACTTTAATGATATACACAAACCTTCAGCAGAAAACCTCAGTATAAGATTTTGTTGTTAATTTAAAGTGTGCTTACTCTTTTCCTTAGGCTCACAATGTAGCTCCAACAAAGAGGGTTACTCGTGACGCACCAACAGCAATCTGTAACCTAATTTTATTTTCAATTTCCCTTCAGCCAACGTTTCTCAAACAAAGGAATAAACAGAAATGTCTTTTAGGGTTAATACGCTTTCACAAAAGGTTAACAGAGAATTACCAATCAACCTTCACTTTTCTTATTTCATGTGTGTCTTTGTGTGTCTGTGTCTGATTTGAAACGTGCAGTATTTTAATACCACTAGTTGTTGCATTCAAGGTGAAACACGACATGAAGCTGACCAGGAAGTCGAGCTGGAAGAGGGCAACAACCGCTAGTACAAAATGCTTGAACGTCAACATACAACACCTGCTCACGAGTAGTAAAACTACTGTATGTTTTAGCTTTAAAGCGCCTGTGTAACTTCTGCAGAACAGTGGGGCAACTATTGTTTATGCCTTACCGTAATTTAACAGAAGCAAAAGTAGGGAGTCCATAAAGTGTGCAAATTGAGTCAGTGACCACCATAAGCTACTGGTCATATTTTGTGTGCAATGCTATGGCCTAATCACATTTTCAGATACATTTTTGCAGTGTGATCGCAGCTTCAGTCATACTTTAGTTTTACTTATAAGCCTCCCTATTATGACATGTTTTAACAGTTAAAAGCCTGGGATTGGATCTCCATCTTTATAGTTTAAGGAGCCGAAAAGAAGAGCAGCAATCACAGCACTGTTACTAAATAATAATAATAATAATACATTTAATTTATAGAGTGCTTTTCAAGAAACTCAAAGACACTTCACATTAGTTAAAAAGGAAAAGAAAAAGGTAATAAAAACAACACACTAGGAAAATATAGCTATATCTACAACACTCAACAATAAATTAATCATTAAAAGCAGTTCTGAAGAGGTGGGTTTTGATCAGTGATTTGAAGTTGGATGAATAAATCAAACATGAAAAACCACACACTAATACAAACACACACAGACATAACACACATAGTTAATACACAAGAGTTGTGATACTATGCTTTAAAGTAGAATAACCCTCTGAACGGCAGCGTCCATCAAATTCTTTGTCAAAGTCAGGACTCATTTCCAAAAAGTCCAAAATGTCCTTCAACCGGTTGTTAGTATTAAAACAGTTTGCTTTAGTTTAGCTGTAATATCTAGGAATTACAGAGTCAGTGTTTTAATAAGAACACACAGTCAGTGTTTTAGTATGACTCTAGGTTTGATCATCTGAATTCAAAACTTCATAAAGATTTACTTTATATTGACAGCTGGAGCCCAGTCTGCAGAGATTTCCCAGACAACAGTACTTAATTTTAGCTCAACTGTCCATTATGTTCATTAGACCAGTTTTAGATTTCCTTGATGGTTCAAACTTGATTTCAGAAAAAAAGTTGCTGCTTTTGACAGCGTTCATTTTCATTCTCATCACCTTGGGATGTCTGGCTGTGGAGATTTATTTTGTAATACAATAAAAACCCTGTATACTAATCCAATTTGTAAGCAAATACATTAAATCAAGTGATCTGCAAACTGCATGTAGAGCTATTGTTATTAGTCCATTGAAGCTGTCACAAGCTTGTATTTAAAGGACAGCACTCTTGCTATCAAAGTAATTGAAGAATTGTCCACTAAAGCCTCTGGTCTTTGCTTAAATCCTATTAATCCCTGCACTAATCAAGACCTCATGAAGTCTCAGGGTCCATCAAATCATTTCGAGTCTTCAACAAATAGGCCCTTTTTACAGTACAAACA